TGCATACAATAATTACAATAAAATAAAGTTGGGGCTGAGTGGGGGTATCGCTCAGTAGCATGGCACCTGCCTGGTAAACATGAGGTTCTGATTTGATTTCCAGGTCCAAAATAAAATAAAATAAAACAAAATACCTGCACATAGAAGGAGACCTGTGCCATAAGGGTAGCACAGGCTTAGTTAGCACCTCCATTGTCCTCATCTAAGGCCCCCAACTTGTCCAGCCTAATTAAAAGGTCCATGAGCAGCCCTGGACTGGCCATGACACAGAAGGGGCTGCTCAAAATTTTGTTTTGTCCTCCCTCAGCCTGAAGAGAGGCAGGCCATAGGCTAGCACCAGCCAGAAAGGAAACGGGTCCTCAGGAACTCCCAAGCGAGGTGCCCAAATGATGCAGGAATCAGGGTAAACAGCCAGAAAGACATTAAGATTCCCTGGACCTAGGTCCTGGTACACTTACTTGAAAGCTCCAACTGCCAATAGGCAACCACTGCTTCCCGCTGCATGGCTCTGCTTTTCTTGGTACCACTTATCACACAAAAGGAGCCATGGCAGGAGAGGCACTCAGATGTTTCCATCTTGTTCTTCCTGGCCCTGTGTGAGACCCACTGTAGCCTCTTGCATGCACTAAGTTGTTATCCTCCAATGTGACCAACCTCAGCAAAATGAACCATGGAGGTTTTCCTCAAAAATAAAATGCCCACCTAGGAGCCACATACAGGAATAAAATCCTTGGGGTCCAAAACCACAAAACTTCCTGCTAACAAACTCAAAAAGGAACATAGCCTGCCCAAAGCCCCTCACTCTATCAAGCTGAAACTAACACAAGAATGTGCTATAAAGAGGCTTTCTTCAAATTCCAGATTGGTCAGTTTTTGCTGAGCACTTTGTCATCTGCAAGCTACCAGTTGCCAGCTTGAGCGTGAAAGTCCAGACCCAGGGCTGGGCCACCAGAACTGCATGGGGGCTCTGAGATCCTCAGACTCTTCTCACAGATGAATTATAGAGATCCTTGGAGCTGGACTCTGAGGCACCTGGTGCTCTGTGGACAAGAGGACTTTCCTGAAAGGCTCAGGAAAGGACAGTCTGAAGAACATCCATAAGCCAGTTCTGTTGGTGGCAGGGAATGGGGTGGAATCACTGTATGGCTTTTGTCTGTGGAGTTGCACATAACCTTAATTATGTATCATGAAAAGGGAGATTAAGTTTTTCAAAGTGGTACTGTCAGGGAAACAGAAACATACTTTGGATTTCATTTTTTGGTTCATAAATTCACGTTTAATGTGGAATACTATTTCTAAGTTATTTTAATATGGATGAAAGAGTACAAGAAGAGTACTTTTATTTTTTAAGCACAACTTTTTTTGTTTGCCAAGTAACAACAGGAGCAGCCCAGGCCCAGACAGACTGAGGGCCCAATTGGTGGCAGAACGGAAGCACTAAGTCCTCCACTAGCCCCAAAGAGAAGCCAAAAGGAGTTGGAGGAGTGTAGGTCCTGGCCCAAGAACAGTCCTCTTGGCACTTCCTTCCTCAGTGAAATCTAGTCTCCACACAGCTGCCTCTCCAATAGGGCAAAGGGTTCCAGAAAGCACCACACCTAGTTGTATTTCCCTTTAAAGGGAGGTAGGATATGGCAAGGGGCAAAAGGTCTGATAGGTTCAACTTGCCTGAGTGACTCATTCCAAAGGGCCTTTTTCAAGGAAAGTGGAGGACACTGTAGGGAGGAAATCTGTCTGCAATGAAGCATATTTGCTCCCAGAGAGTCAGGAAGCCACAATGTCTGTCTATAACCAATACAGTTATACTATGACATTTTCAAACAGCAGCTATCGACCTGTTTTCCTTCTGATATTCCCAAATCCTTCCAGATACATCCTCCACCTTGGCTTCCAGGAAGGTATGAACAGCAGCTCTTGAAGCTTCCTTGGCCTCGGCTGAGACACTGGGTGTGGGAGGCAGAAAAGTGATGTGCATTTGCCAGAAAAGGCAGGCAAGAGCGAAGTATTTGTCCACTGGTCTTTTGACATGTAGACTTCAGTGAGCCCATCTGGTGCCCCATGAATCTTTGCAGGAATGATGGCTATACTGGAGCTTCCCATGTAGCAGCTCCCACAGAAAAGCACAAGCAGACTGCCTAGGGCAGTAGTGGTAAACCTATGACACATATGCTGCAGAGGGCTGTAAAATGAAAGCTCTAAACGGTTCGCCATCACTGGCCTAGAGCCTTTTAGCTCATTTTAGGGCCCTACACTATTCCTAGCTGAGTCTCAGTAGTGGGCTAAGTATCCCTTGTCTTCCCACAGCTCCTGTTCCCTGCTCTCTATTAGCCTAACTGTAGGTCCTGTCCAAGAAGCACCATGTCAGCTATGAGCCCACATATTCATCATGAAGTTCTTTTATAGCCATTCCTGGCCCACATAATAAGTCCAGCCTCAACTCACAGCCTTCTCTGCCTCCTTCCAGTGACACTTATGCAATGGCCATAGGTCAGGAAGTATCCTCCTTATTCAGACTCAGAAACAAGCCAAATGGGTCCAGACATCTCTCTTCCACAAGAAGCTTTGGTGCTACCTTTTTGGACTATCTTACAAGCTCCCCTCAGACTTCAGAACCTAAATGGCTCACAGTTGCCTGCAATAAGCAGCTAAGGATACTCACAGGCTACCTGTTTGATGCAGGGCTACATGTAGCTGGGCACAAGGCCTACTGAGAGACCAAAACAGGTCTCTGCCCTCTAAGCACTTATATCCAGCAAGAGAGATGTGGAGAGTATGAGTGCTGTCAGTAAACTCCTGGGGTGGGGGACAGGGACATTAAATCTGGACTATTTTTGGAGAACAGAGGATACAGGTCAAGTGGCTCCACACAGCCGAGGCACAATGGGAAGAAGGGAAGGGTATGGGAAGAGGGGCAGGTCAGAAGGTAGAGCCTATATCCATGCTGAGCAGTCAAGAAAAAAAGTGAGTGCTTTAGGATAGAGAAACAGAATCACACTCCAGGATGGTCTTGCACAAGTACTGTAACAGGCATGGACAGGAACCAGTGGCCCAGGCAAGTAAGGAGGTGTGGCAGCCCAGCAGGAAGGAGAGCCCCCTTAAAGGCCCCAGGGAGGGGTGTCTTTCTTCTGGGTCTAGGCTGAGGAGACTGATCAAACCACAACTACATGCCCCACTCCATCATTTCAGCCTCACAATTAAAGATGAATGTGGATGTGACAAGTCACTGATGTTCCTGGACTTTTATAGATACAATATGCAGGGTCCAAATTGCTTTCACTTAATAACAGTTTACATTCTGAGTACCTGTCCACACTTGTCACACCAGAGAGCCAGAGCACTAGGACAGGGGCTACTCTGCCCCAAATGGCAGTGTGGACAGCTGCCCTCCTTCTGGTCCTTTCCCGGACAGCTCATGAACATCATGTTGTTGCAGCAAGTCTTCAGGGCAGCAGAACCCTTCTTTCCAACTGCCATGTATGAGGTACTACAATGAAGTAGTCAAAGGCAACCTTGTGAATCACAAACCTGCCTTGGTTTCCCTATCTGTAAGAGGAGGACTACCAGATACCAAAGCCTGGGAGAGGCAGAGAAAGAAAGGGGCCAAGAGGACTTGCAACAGGCAGGCCCTGATGTGCAGAAGGTTCAGCCCACATCAACAGAGGAACTGCAACCTTTCCTATAAGGCTTCCACACAGATGCAGGCTCAGGGGCCAGACTTTTACTGCTCTAAGACTATGCTTAGTGGAAGGCCCTTATAAGTCCCTGTGAAGTCTGTAGCTCCAAGTCTTGCACCCAGTGAGCTTGAACTTGCCTTCCTTAAGAGCTTGAGGTCACTAAATTGTCTGCCATAAAAGACCTCGGGGGATTTTTAGTTGAAGGGACAGAGTGGGGACAACCGCATAGGAAGCATGGTATGCAACCCCACTGTCAGGCTGGCATCCTGCAAGATCTACTTCCCCACTAAGTGACAGACCCATGGCTCCGTGTCTATCTCTTGCCCCTATTCCTGTTTGAGACAGTCACTCAGAAGTGGATGAGCAGAATTAACTTATCCTTCATTCTGCTTTGCACCTGTGACTCAGTGGGCAGGGGGATCCCAAGATAGGGGACCACAGGCCCTATAGGCTCCCAAACAAATTGAGATTCTCCCCAAGGCTCACCTCCCTGAGTTGCAAAATCCCAAACACCTAGGGTTGTTTTTGGGATTCTGGTATCTGTGGTGTGGTCACAAGCTCTGGGAACTAAGGGAATTAAACATTAGCCCAGCAGGGTACCATGACTACTCAACAGGGGGTCTCTGGTCAGGACAAGAAGGGCACCTTCTGCACCTAGCAGGAACGCTGGTTGTCAGGAGCCAGCCTCTGTAACTTCCCCACCCGCTGAGAGGAACAGGGAAGAGGAAGTGTGGGATGGCCAGGGTAGAAATAAACGATGCCCATTGCCCTCTGTACATCACTCCTAGGATCCCTAAGCAGCTACAGTAAATGTGGAAAGTCCTCCTCAACACATGCCCTGGTGCAATGTATCAGCGTTTAACCTGGGAAAAAAGGGCACTCAAGGACAAGGAGGCAGGGAGACCGCCACCTGTGTCCAGGGCACCTGGGCTGGCGTGGAGTGACCCATAGGACCAAGCACCAACAGCCTCAAGAGTCTATACCCTACTGCTGCCAATTTGCGGTCTGGGGCCCTATCCCCAGACTGAGCCTCTCAGGTCCCTGCCCACTAGCCCCCCAGGCCCAGCAGCTCAGTCTGAGGCCGCTGTCCACAAGGCTAAGTCCCCCCCCCCCCAGGCCGCCGTTCTTAGGCCGAGGCCCCCACCCTGACAACCCTACTTCACCATCCCAGGCTGCTGACCCTCAGGCCGAATTTTTTGGGTTGCTGCCGCCCAGGCCAAACCCTTCAGTCTGGAGCCACTACTACCCAGGCCGAGGCTCCCCGGACCTGGGCTGCTGTTCCCGAGACGGAGTTCCGTGGGTCTGGGGCCGCTCCTTTTTGGTACTCACCTCTGAGAGCTGCGGCGCCTCCTTAGCGTCCGCTGCTGAGAGGCGCCTCCGTCGGCTGATCCCCAACTTCAACAAGAGAGGTGCGGCCTCACTCGGCTCCAGCCGTGCTGCCGGGACCAGCACGCCTCAGCCGCGGAGCACTTGGCCCGGCCTTCTTACGCCGCCTCCGTAGAGCCCGCCGGGCACGACTCACTTTACGCCACCTCCGTAGCATGGTGCCCTGCCGGGTCTCGCGGTTAGGGTGCGTCAGCGGCGCAGGCGGTGATGGGAATCGCGTCTGGACTACTACTCCCACAGTCCACGCGGCAACGCGCGAAGCCCGCTGGGAGTTGTAGTCACTGGGTGAAGCCATCCCTCCGTTCCCTCCACACACCCTCTATTAGGGACGTGCTGTTAACGGAGGGAGCGCGGGGGGCAGATAAGACTGGACTACAACTACCAGAGTTCCTTGCGATGTGTATAAAGGGCGGGCTCTCAGGAGGAGGTCCGGCAGCCTTTGGGCTGGGTCTGGGGTCTGCGGTCTGGAGTCGGGTCCAGCTTACTCCAAAGCGAGACTAGGGATTCAAGGCGGGGCTATGAGTCCCACTGCTCCTGGACCGGATTGGGGGCTGGGAGGTCTAGTTGCAGAGAGGTCAGGGCCATCCGGATTGCTTCCGGCCTCTCCCAGAGCCCTCCTAGATGTCTTGCTCTGTTAGCTCTTCCTGGGCTAAGCGATCAGAAGCAGCAGTCCTGCAGATCGGCTAGGATCTGAGGTACAGCCTCATGAATCACAGTGTCACTGGGAATGACTTGTCTGGGCCCGTTTCCTTGGCTCAAGAACATCTGCCTTCAAACTGGGCCATTCCCCTCCCCTAGTCCTCTGAGCAGACCTTTAGAGCCCCTTAGGTTTAGTGTCCCTTTAGGGCCATTTGGCTGCCTGAGGTCACTCACACACCCAGAACTTCAAAGCCAATTTCAGGTTGGTCTTTTGAGTGGCCGAGATGCCCAAGAGTCTCAGAAGCAAAAGCTTCAGTGGTAGAGGGATCAGAGGGCAGCTGCGTCTTCGAGGACACCATGCGGGAAAGGAAAATTAGACCACAAATAAATAATGCCATTTTAGAGTCTTAGGAGAGACCACCAGATCTGTGGTAAGAAAGAGCTGTTTTTCAAGTGTGTAGGGCTCAGAAAAATCCATCACAACAGGCACTCTAGGGACAGATCCATGCACCCAGAGAGCCAGCAAGTCAAAGGTGAATCATTGTACTCTGAATGCTAAATGGACATACCTGAAAACCCCACTTTTAGTGGTCAGGTCAGAAGATGCCTTTGTTTCAAGACAGGGCCTCACTATAAAGCCAGTCCTCCTGCTTCAGGCTCTTGAGTGCTGGAATTACAGGTTATGTACCACCATCCCTGGCTCAGAAGCTAAGTATTCCTAAGTGGCAGAACATGCATGTGTCCTGGGAGGCTTTATCTCCTTGCTATGGAACACCCACCTCAGGCCTACTTGGCTCTCTGGAGACAGGGACAGGAAGTACATCCCATTCAAGCCAGCAAGTTGTTTAGAGGACACTAAGGACTGTAGAGAGGGCTCTGCTCTTTGCAACCTGGGCAACCTCTTGGGTTCCCAGTGTGAAGGGTACAGCCTCTACCCAATGTGCCTTCACATGAGAGGACACTGAAAGTGGATTTTCAGGGACCTCAGCCTTCATCAGACACCACCTGTGGTGGTGGAGCTCTAAACTGATATTGCTTCCTAGTCTAGAGAAAAGCATACAGCCCTGTGACTTCCTGCCAGAGAAACAGCTAAAATTGGGCTTGTGACTATGGCTCTTGCTAGCTTGCTGCATGTGGCCAACTCTGCTGCCAGTATTGTTTAGCACAGCCCTATGAGGGGACTAGGGCAGAAACAAGGCCTGCCACTGGAGAAAAATGAAGTTGCTCAAAAGAGGATCTAAGGAAGAATCTTAGTTTTTTTTTTTTTTTCTTTTTTGGTACAGGAAATTGAACTCATGACTAGGCAGGTGTTTATACCACTCAGCTAAATCCTTGGCCCTGAAAATCTTAGGATTGTTGATACTGAGGGAGCTGGAGATGGCCAAGGGACAGGGGTCTCTCCTGCATGTCTAGTCAGCAAGTGGTCATCCTGAATGTTCTGATGCATTGCACAACAGAAAAGACTGGGTTATCAATTACTGACTGAACCTGCTTTATGCCAGTGTGGCCCTGGTCAGAGGACACAATCATGACATGTGGACACACTCAAATCAATACAAGACAGCCTGGGGCTGTGGGACAGCAAAGAGCTTTGCAGAGTCAAGCAGCTCAGTCCTTGAATCAACTTGGGACCCAAACCTGTTCTAGGCTTTGGGCACACAGCAGTGAAAAGATGAGAGGCAGTCACAGAGTCAATTCCCATAGATGAGCACTTTGGATGCTTGCTGTGATAGGCTTAAGATGGATAGGCCACAACTCGGATTTCACAAATTATCCGCTTTGTGAGCCACACACACCTTGGTCAGAATACTCAGTAAACTCACAGGTTAACAAGTAAACTGGATAAAGGTTCCTGGTTGAACTTCCAGTTCTCCTTTGGGCCTTCATTAGGTCTGTGAACTGCTAACAGGTGGAGATGCCTTTGTTTTCTGGCCAACTTAGGGATCTAGCTAGATGGGGAAATAACTTTCTAGCCTCACTGCCAATAGGCTTTCTTCCAGAGAGGAAAAATCACTGCTGTCATTTGCTTAGCCCAAGCTTTATTTATGTTATTCTATCAGATAGAATTAAGATTTGGAAGATTCAAGCAGCAGTGCTGTACCAAGTGAGGGGCCAACTACGAAGATAGGATCCAGTTTGGGAAGGACGGCTCTGCTAGATAAAGGTGCTAGTGTTGGCAAGCCCCATGGCCAGTTGACTGCAGAGGGGAGGGGGTGAGGGGTTGGAGGCTTATCACCCAGGGGGTTTTGCTGGGATCTCCAGGCTTCTTCTGGGAATATCCCACTACAAGCTCAGGCAGTCACTCCTGGGAATATTTTCCGTAACAGTGGGTTTTCATCTTGTCCTTCCTTGCCCCACACTATATCCTAAATGGAAGACTTTGTCTTTCTTGGGCTGAAGGACTCCATTGATCCAGACAGTGATCTTAGCTTCTGCTGATGGAGCTGAATGGACCATGGGACAGGCTTCACATGCTTACAAGTGCAAGTGAGTCAGGAGCCACTAGACCATTGTAGAAAGACTCCCTCTATGCTTTCAGTTAATCCTAGGCAGACAGGCCCTGCTGGCACCAAGACCCAGCCTGGGTAGGTGGAAGGGCAAGCAATACTCCTGCAGGCAGAAACTCAGGACCCAACTTGTCTGTACCACCAGATTTCTCAGTTCTATCTACCAAGTGTCCAGGACTCCTGGGCCAGACTCCAGTAAATGGAGTGTCTCTGCTGTTCTCTCCCAATGACAAATCTGTGCCCCCTCCTATTATCAACTCTGAGCAGCAGTTGGGACTGTGCAGGATAACCAGCAGGCAAGCAGCTCAGTATAAGAGGTACTGGAGAACTATGGGTTTGTGGATTGCTGGTCTGGGGTTACCTGAGCTAGGTATGTGCCCTACAGGGCTGATGTTCCGGTATTTTTGGCCAACAAACTGCCCTTCCAATTAGGCACGATTTTTTTCCCCTTAGAACTTGCTTATGCTGTTCCTGTGATTACAGGGCTACCTGATTTCTTCAGCTGCCCATCAGCCATTCTTTTTGACTTCTAAGCTATTTATGCCTGGGCTTCTGCCCTCTGTGTGTTAGTCACTCCTGGGGATGCTGCCTCCCATTACCCTTGCACAGCACCAACCCTTCCTTTATGCCTAACACAGGATGTGTATCACACAGGGCAGAGGCAATGTGTGTAAGACTTGTGGCACACACCACCTTCCTACACTAGTGGCCCAGTCAGATCATCAATCCTGGGGACTTAGGAAAGGGCCTGATCGAGCTACAAAGCCAAGATGGTCTCCATGTGTCTAAGCTCAGAATCATGTCCCCAGACCCCTGGGGAAAGCAGGACCAAGATGTTGGGCACCCCATCCACCCAACCACCCTCGGGAGGAAGGAGTCAGCTTTTGTGTGTGTAGTAACAACTTTAATCTGTGGTGGCAAACACATTGGGCAAGACCCTGCTGGCCTTCCAGCCTCCTGTGTCCAAGCAGAAGTCATCTCTCAGGAGTTGAAGCAGGTGCCACGTGCAAGTTGGCCATTGGTGTGTCCCTCAGTGTCTCCTGGAAACTAGTATTTACAGTCACAAGACTGCTGAGTGGTCAGCAGGACAGGCCACAGCCTCTGTTACAGGGCTGGGACCTGGGCACAGAAAGGCAGGGCTCCAGTATTTATATATTATACATATGTATATATATATATTTTTTTTCATGTGTATACACAGATAGTTTTTCTCTCTGCAAAGTATTAAAAAATTGATCAACCTTCAATCTATAAAAAATACCTAGTCTACATGATAGAAAAATCTCTCTTCCAAGTTTACACTGATTTACACCCAAGGCTTTCCCCAGAATGTACAACACGAGGCAACATCTTAAATTTTAGTGTAGAAGGGCCACGTGAGGGATGCAGGGCAGCACACATACATTCACACTTGTGCGCACACTCATGCACGCGCGCACACACACGCATACAGTGGGGTGGCCAGTCTTTGTGACGGGTCTTGGTCCACCTGGAAATGCCCAGGGGGCTCCCAGGCTCAGGGAGAGCCCAGCAGCTGTGGCACTGCCTTCCTGGGTGGGACAGGCAATGTACAGAAACGCCACCCAATACTCCTATGCCCATGGAGAGCAGCCCTGCCCACACTGCTACAGGATGTAACCCAGAGGAAGAACAAAGCAGGTAAGATGCCTAGAAGAAACCAGAAGAAAACATGATTCTAGACATGTGGAATCTAGCCTGGGAAATGTGGATTCATCCAGGGCAGTGACATCTGCCTAGGGAGAGTGTAGATTCCAGGAGGTCAGAGCAGGTTGTAACCACAGAGCAGTGGCCCCTGTAAGGGACCAGCAGTGTCTACCCCATGCAGGAAGTGAATTCCACAGTCTAGATTTCAAGCTGTAGTATCAGAGCAAAAGGTTCTAGAGCACTCCTGCCACCCACAGAGCCCTTGAAATTACTAGAATGAGTCAGGGCATAGGATGGCTGTTTGGAAGCCCCTGGTCCTGAAGCTAAACAAAGGTGGCCCTCTGGGTGATGGCCTAAGCCACTCAAGGAGAACTGAGGGGCACATGATTCCCAGCCAGACCTACACATACCAGCCTCCCTTCCCGTGTCCCATGGGAGGCTCCAGGACTTGAACACCATTCAGTAGTGATTTTGGGATGAGTGGCACCACGTAAGGGTGCTTGTGTGGGCAGCTGCAGCTCTGGTAAGGACCCGTTTTCTTCCTTTCTACCTGACAGGGATGTACAGAGGGAAAACGGGTCTGCTGCAAAGGAGTCAGAGGGCTCACCTAGCCTGAGAAGCTGTCTTGAACTCTGCACACAGCTTAGAGCCCGTCCCTGATGAGCACACATGGGCACTACAGCCAGGCAACATGAGGTGGGGAGGCCCTGCCACAATCCCTGCCTGCTGTGGGCTCAGTCCCAGAGATTCCCCTTCTTCCTCTCTTTCCCACTCCCCAAGGGTCCTGCACACCCTGGGTTTGGGAGGCCGGGGGCCTGCTGGTCTTGGCTCCTTATGGTGTAGCGGGGCACTCGGGATGCTGGTGGCGTCCTGAGCCAGCCCAGATTGGGCTCTGCTGCCCTATTTGACCTCCAAGATGGATGGGTTTGTCTCCATGATGGCCACGATGATCCTATCAATGTAGTCCTGTAGGCGGAAGTTGATCTCCTCCTGCTTCTGGATGGCTTCCATGAGCTGTGGTGAGAGCAAGGGGTTGGCGTTGGGCACAGAGAGATTTGGGCACAGACAGAAAAAGAAGAATACCTCATCACGGGAGACTGAGCTGATCTCTGCAGCCAAGGACTCTGAGAAGGCTGTGGAGAATAGGCTTCTGGCACCCTGGATGCTGAGGGTGATGATCTGCCCATTCAGCTCATCATTCTGCTCCTTTAGGCTGCGGTTGTCCTAGGGGACACAGGAGCATCATCATGGTGGGCCAGGACAAGGAACCTGTAGCTCAGTTCCCCTCCCAAGCCAGCTGTTATGCTTTAGATCTAAAATGTCTCCCAGAAGTCTTGTGTTCAGGGGCTGGAGACATAGCTCATTGGCATAAGCACCAGCCTGACAAACGCAAGGTCCTGAGTTCAATTCCTGGTACCCCAAAAAAAAAAAAAAAGTCTGTGTTCAGAGGTGGGGCTCTTGGAGGATGATAGAAGTGGGGCCTGGTTGGAGGGGTGGGTCATCAGAAGGGCATATTCACGTGCCTGGCTCCTCCTTTCTCTCTCTGCTTCCTGGCTGCCATGGAACAGCTTTTTCCTGCCATGCCCTTATACCATGCTGCTTCTGCTCGGGGAAGAGCTAACCATGGACTGAATCCTCTGAAAACTGAGCTAAATTAAACCTCTTTAAGCTGTGGATGTCAAGTATTTTGTCCTCATGTTGGAATTGCTTGTACCCCAGCCTTTGGGAAGCTTCTGTGGGGCTGGACAGAGCCATACCTGCTTGAGCTTGCGGACTTCCTGCTCCAGCTCGCTCTCCCTGGTGCGGCTGTGGTACTCCTGCAACCCCATGCTGCTACTGCGGCCTCGCCTCTGCTCAGCCTCCAGCCTGAGGAGCTGTAGGTGCTCTAGCTGCCTACGGAGGTCCTCAATTAGCTGTGAAGGAAGCATAGGGCAAGTACCTGTTAAGTTAGCCTAGCCATGTTCTTCTGGGAGATCACTGGCTAATGGTTCCAGAGGTCATCAAGCACCAACAGCCCTCTGAAAATGACAGCTAAAAGCCTTTGTCCAGGAGACTAACGGTCCTCTGGCCTCCCCCAGGAGCAGGCTGCATTGGGCAGGGTATGGACATAGGAAAGCAACAGCTGGCCCTGGTCACCTCCTGGGTTGCCTCCTTGTCCCTCTGGAACTGGTGGCGCTCATGGCTCAGCCTGTCCCCCATCTTCCTCTTGTTGTCCTGTTCCTCACTGAGCCGCAGCGTCAACCCTTCAATCTCATCCAGCAGCTTCTGCTTCTCCTGAAAAAATAAGGCCTGCGTGGACACATGGCACCTCCTGCTAGGGCATACAGCTCAATTCTGAAGCTTGTCCCTGAGACTACTGCCCAGTCTAGTGACACTGACTGTGGCCAAAGCACATACAGGGCACATCAGCTGTTTCTCAAAAGGATGGGGCAAAAGGATAGGACCTGATCTAGTGTCTGTGTGCATTTTTGGTCTAGTACCTGTAGCTTACAGGAGCCAAAACCCACATGGTCTCAGAACATCTTCTAGTTTTAGAGCTATCCAGGGGTACTTGATGAGGAGGAAAATAAGAGGGCCTCTAGGTGTGTAGCCAGGATGCAGGGCCCACATTGATGCCTCTACCCACAAAATTATAAGAGCAAGCCAACTAGAGGCCACCGTAGTCTACTATGAAATGCATACTGTTCTCTGGATTCAGATTATGGGGCCAATCTTAGTGTGGACATCTGGCCTCATGGATCCTGAGTTCTTTGGAGGCTGGGTTGAGACTAATGCCCTCCGACAAAGGGATGCCTCCTTTACACCTGATTACAGCAGGGCCCTGCTGCTGTCATCCTGCTCCCAGGAGTAGCTGCCTGGTTCCCTTGCAGGCTCTAAGTGCACATCCTCATACTCTGTCAGTGTCAAGAGCAGAAGGTACTAGAAAGACTGTGCTCAGAAAAGCTGGAAACTGATCCGAGCATCCACAGGTGGAAATAGCCTGGCCTCGCTAGTCACAGCCTGCAGTTACCATCTTACCTCTTCCAGACGCTCGATACTGGCCTTCAGACAGGGCGTGCAGGATCGGAGCTCACTATTCTCCTCATCCAGCTGCTGCAGCCTGGGACATAAGAACAAGGCTGGGACCTGCTCTCTCAAAACTGTACCTCTGCAGGGTAAGGAAGGCTAATATCTAGAGGAACCCTCCTGGGATGTGCTTTGGACCCAAATACCCATACATATCTTCACCCCGTATGAGTGCACCAGGCAAAAGCTTTTCTGTAACCCATACCAGCTGTTAAATTCATTTGGCATTGGGGACACTTTAGGTGCACAAAACAGTTGCATGCAATGTAATATCTCTAAAACTTCCCTTATTTCCTTTCCATCATGCCATCACTTCTTATCAAGCGCACACGCAGGTGGGTCACACTATGAGCAAACTGCACATTGTAGATTTTCCACCAAAGCACAGGATCCCACCGGGGTCTCACCGTATAAGCCTCTATTGTCTACGTCACCTGGCTTGTGGGTCTCCCAGACCAGACTGTTCTACTCTGTGAACCTGGTGTGTTGCCAGTCCTGGTCAGATGTCCTGTAGAATGCCCTTCAAACTGGCTCTGTCAGATCTTTTCTCATAGTTAGATGGGGCAATGGATTTAAGGAAGAACCACCTTGATGTAGGGCCTTCTTATCACACCTTACCTGACACCCACAGGGCACACATGTCATCTGGTTAAGCTATGTCTCCCAGGTATTCTCTCTATCCAATCACAGCTTCCTGGTCACTATGCTGACCTCAAGTCCAGCCCCTAGGGGAGGGGGAGCTTGGCCAACTCCTGGAGGACTATGTACAGGTACTTCCTGGAATTCCTCTGAAGACTATGTCTTTCACATCACTTATAGACTACCTGTCTGTGTCACTGAGGACTCTTGCATAAGTAGTTATACCTTGAGCGATAGCCCTATGCGGCACTGTCCTGGACTGGTTCCACTCTGGTGTTAGGAGCTCTTACAATTGGCCGTAGTATTCCCCTGACACAACCTACAATGTATCTAAACATTTTGGATTATCTGATGACTTCCCTTTAGTGTGTTTGTAAATGTGTCAAATATTTACAATGTCAGTTCCAAGTAAGTACAAAAGCAATTCTGCGAAATTCCTTTAATTCCTTTTTCTTTTAATTGCCTTTCTTTTTTGGAGACAGAGTCTCACTATTCCACCCTAGCAGCTCTCCAATTTCTTAACTCCTTTGCTCAAGCAATCTTCCTGCCTCAGTCTTTAGAATAGCTGGAACCACAGGTGTCCCCTAGTGCATTTGGATGAAACAAATATGGGGGACATGGACAGGACAGACTTGCAGAAGGAAAGGTCAGCCTCGGAACATAGCTCTCATGCCTATATTCTCCTTAAGGAGAATTTTGGACTTCTCTCCATTTTGGTTTCTCCCATTTTCTAAAGTAAAACTTTTTTCCCATATATTGCATTTTTGGCAACTCTCTATTGCCTACCTAGCCTGCAGGTTCTCAATCTCGATGCTCTTCTCTCGCTCCATCTTACACAGAAGTTCTTTCTGCTTTCTGGTCTCTTCTAGTACCATTTCGTGAGCTCTCAGCTCCTGTTCCTTCAGCTGTTCCTCCAAGGCATTGGCTCTAAAGGCAAAGGGGAAGAGACAAGGTGTCTACTGTGCCCACCAGGAGCTAGAACACTGCACTGATACTGGCTGTTGCCCACTATAGCTAGGCTAGCCTAAGACATTAGAGCTAGGGAAAAGCCATAAAACACTTGGGATACAAGGGCCACAGAACTCTGTAGAAAGTGAATGTGACAGCTAAATGCAGAAATCTTTCAGTGTGGGTAACTGTTAAATGCATAACACCAGGTGAAAATGGTACCTTCATACTCAGCTCAGGACACAACCCTCTCTGGAGACATAAGACACACTTAACATTCCATGGAACAAGAGCCCTTCAGGAGCATAGCTAGCCCCCCAACTTGGCAGCAGGAGTTGGTGGCAGTACATCCCCAGTGGGAATCCTAGGGAGTGAGCAGCATCAAGCCAAGGCCTATATTTAACAAGACAACTTGTTTCTGTAATGTTGATTATGATATGCGGCTTGGTCCAGAAGCTCCAACTCTCACAGAGCTCATGAACTGAAGAATAGTCAGGAACATCAGCCTCATGCAGAGGGAGACACCTTGCTTCAGGAGTGCTGGGTAACCAAGAGGACACTTGCAACCAGCACAAATATATGTGGCCATAGCCAGGCGTGGTGGCTCATGCACTTGGGAGCTTGTATCCCAGCACTTGGGAGGCTGAGGTGAGAGGATCGTTGCGAGTTTGAGACCAGCCTGGGCTACAAAGTGAGCTCAAGGCCAGCCTGAACTGCATAGTGAGACCCCATCTCAAAAAAGACAAAACAAACAAACAAACAAACAAACAAAAAACCCCAAAAAACAAATATGTGGCCTTTGTCCAGAGCCCTCTGCAACCACATAGGTAGGTTGTGGATGAGAAAACAGGCTCAGAGGTACAAATCCCTGGCCTGAGGCTAGGCTGTGGCAAAGCCAGCATGTGACCCACGCAGTGTGGCTAGCATGGCAGATCCAGGTAAAGAATTTCTCCCATGATTCCACAAGTGCCTCTCCACTGCCCATGCCCCAACAGTGGACTTCCTCAGGACTAAGATCCTCTACGTTGTACAGGAGAAACTATACTGTTAACATGTACATCTGACTAGAGAATGCAGCAAAGTTTTTGCATCAGAAGAAAACTTTCCCTTCTTCTGTCCAAACCTACCAGCTGTGCTTCATTTTTTCTTAGCACCCCCACCCAGGCATGACTAGGCTGCAGATCCTGTCTCCTGTTCAGTATGCTTTTCTGCTACTAAATGACTTCCACAGCCAGGAATCCCCAAAGATACCTGCCCGCACAAGTGCTCCCTGATCTGTTCCTCTAGTACAGGACTCTATCCTCACCCCTAAGGTCCTCCTGCTGTCTTCAAGGCCCTAGCATAATCTAAACTCCACACACCTCTGTTTCACTATTTGAAATGTTTTCTCATCCACAACCTGAGTATGTGGTTGCAGAGGGCTCTGGACAAAGGCCACATATATTTGTGCTGGTCACAAGTGTTCCCTTGGTGTCTGCTTCTGGGGTGACAGTAAGGTGAATGAGACCACAAATGAGATGTGCAATGTGTAGCCACCATCTTGGAATGACATGTCCCCCACCAGGGATTAGTGCTAGGAGAAATGGAGTACAAGCTAGAGCCCTCAATTTTGACTGTTAACCAGCTTCAGATAGATGCTGGGCAGCCCCAGGAGGGCTCCCAAGTTTTCCAGAAACTTACCTAGTGAAACTCCATGTAGAGAGACATCCACTGTGAGCTGATGACCACATCTCTTCTTGGGTTTGTTCTGGTCTTCAGGATCAAACCCATAGCCCAGCCTGCCATGTATGTCCCCCACCACTGACCATGTCACAATTCCTCCCGTAGCTTTAATCTGTACTTCCCAATGGTTCCTAGGCTAAGCTTCATGTTGCGTGTGCGTGAGCAAGGGGCTACCTTTCCCTTGCTCCTCTGGAGTCCTGTGTGTAGGCCCAGATACCTATGGGAGAGTACTCAAATGAGAGTCTTGGGTCAGCCTGCCCAGCCAGCACCTGAATGGATTTGCAGCTCTAGGTGAGCAGGACCCTGCTCACCTGTGTACTAGCTGGAGGTTCTCTTGCCTCAGCCTGCTGTGCTGCTCCCCTGCGGCCACGCTATCCTTCTCCAGCTCTGACACCCGCCTCTCCAGGAAGACGACCTTGGTAATGAGACACAGCTTGAACATCAGGGAGGAGGGGAAAGAGGATTCCACCCCCGAGTTTCTGGAGTTAAGCACAGAACTCCATAAGTGCCCAGCTGAGCTTTGGTTATATCCAGAGCTGGCTGAAACTGCCCCAGGAACTCCCTTCCGCTTTCTACTGGCTCACTCTGTCACTTACACAGGACAAGGGGTCACATTACAGGAGGTTCTGAGGCCTGAAGGCCCAAAAGCAGCCTTCTGACTACACACAGGGCAGTAAGGCTCACACTTCCATGACACAAAGGGGGCCTCTGCTCTGTCCCATGTAACCCATGGAGGAAGTTCAGGTACCTGGGGATGTAAGTGACAAAAAGGCCCTCTCTTCTTATGGGGTTCATGTGAGAAGGGAGACAGATAGCACAAAGGCAGAAGGAGGAATGAAGGCAGAGGAAGAGGAGCACATTGCTGGGCTGCAGAGTGCAGATGCGGAGATGCCATGGAGGCGTGGTATGGGAGGGGGAACAGATGTGCAGAAGGTGGAGAGAGATGAGATGTGGAAGGGGCAGAGATGGAGTGCAGGATGATGCAGAAGAGATGTGCAGGAGAAGTAGAGATGGGGTGTAGTAGAGGAGAGAGGTGAGGTGTGGAAGTAAAGACAGGGTATGAGGGAAGATGGGTACAGGAGCAAGTAAAAATAAATGTGGGAGTGGGAAAGACGGGGTGCTGAAGAGGAAGGAAATGGTACAAGAGGCTGCAGAGATGAGTTACATGAAGCAGTGAAGATAGAGTTCAGGAGTAAGATAGAGTAAAGGAGGCAAATGGTATTGTTGCCCTTCCCCACGGCTCAGGCTGACCTGCAGGAGACAGTACTCAAATGAGAGTCTCAGGTCAGCCTGCCCTGTAGAGGTTTGAGCTCTAAAGTTCTATGCTCTGTGCCATGACATATTCCACCATGGCCCTCAGGAAACAGTCTGGAGTTTGGTATGGCTGGCCTTGCCTGATGGGTTCTGGTAAGCTGAATCTCTGGGCATCCCTATAGGACCCTTTTCCCATCCTTGTCATGATCCAGAAGTTTGTATTTATAATCCCATGGAAACCTTATTTGAATCTTCACGAATTAATTCCAATCTACCACCTCTGGTGCAACCCATAGTGAGAATAAAGACACTAAGACTTATTTACAGTTAAGGGCAGTCAAGGGATCCTGAGTCTGGTCCAGAAGAGGGTTCACAGGACAAAGGCCCTGACTCAGGGCCTAACCCAGATTTTATTATTTCATGAAGAAGAGTGGCTAAAGATACGTGACTGTGAGAATGGTGGGAATTATGTGAGTACTGTGAATTGAGCTAGCTAGCAGACCAGAAAGCTGTAATATGCAGAGAGAAAGATGTGCATAAAGACCAATCTGCATAACACAATTGAGGTAGCATTTAATGTCTAGGAGGCTGTTGCTTCAGTTTCTGATGTGTATACTTTTGTGCCCTGGGAAGTCATAGCCTCTTATCTTGAAGCCTGAACCCAGTTGAAAGTCCTAAAGTGTTAGCTCTGCCATCCCACTGGGCTCAGTCATACAGGGAAATACTAAGATGGGGAAACAGTTGACTGTCAGTTGGCTTTAAAGATTACACATTGGTACCTCAGATATCCCTATTTACACTGCTTAGAGTCAGCTGAGGGGAAGAAAATTGATTAGCCAGTTCTGTACTATCAGTATATGGAGCTAGGGTCAGGTTTAGCCAAAGTGGAGTTAACTCTGTGTTCAAGGTGAGCTGCCCAGGAGGACTTCAACACATCCTTGCACTGTCCCCTGGGCTGTCTCTTCTGTATGCACATAGGCACCCATGTAGCATCGGGAAATCCCAGCTTCCAATCTTCAGCTTCAATGCTTTCTACTGTTCTGTCTGCTCCCATAAAATTCTCCTCTTCATACCATAACCACTGGACCCTTGAGGGAACTTGCTGAGGAAGGACAAGGCTGGATGGCCCATCTAATAACCCCTAGTGACACCACTGACAACTTCTGTTGGGCTGTCCAGATAGCATTCCCAAGAGCCAAGGATGAAGCCTGGTGTCCTAGTAGCCACCCAGTACCCAGGAAACACAAGGAAGCACATCTGGGGACAGCCTCAGACTCTGGCTGCAGTTGGTTTATACTGCCCACAACATGGTCCTGGCCTTTAGTTCTCAATATCCAGAACCTACCTTGTCAGCAATGTCCTCCTCTGGGCCTTCTACAGGCTCTGATGGAGTGTCCTCCAGGGCCTCCATGGTCAGGGCCCCTGACTGGTGCAGATACCTGCGATAAAGAATTAACAGCAGAGGAAAGAAGGGGAAAAACCAAATGGCAAGCTTTCTCAACACTAGCACTACTAAATCCCTCTGAAAGACAGACAGCAGCATGGCAAGCATAGTCTCTTGGCTCCAGAGGCCATGGTCTTTCTGATCAAAGGACAGAGCAAACAAGATTCTTGGTCTAGTTATCTTTACTAAGGGGCTAGGAGGAAAGGCAGTACTCTGGTTTCAGAGTCCTCCTGGTAGTCTTTGGAGCCTGAGTGAACATGACCTCTCTCTCTGCCAGCTGTGTTTGGAAGAGAGAACTTTGTACTTAAATGCAATAAAACATAACATTGTTCCTCACCATGATAGGAAACTGTGCTTTCACCACAGACCTGTCAAACATTAATTCATAATCCTGATTCCTGTACATGGCACCTACAGACCATTTTGACACTTGTATCAAGCACATACTCTGGGGTAGTGATACCTTATGATTTTGAGGAGAGGTATGAATCTAGGATTCCCACTTGGGTCACACTATGGTCTTATGTGAAGCCTGGTTTGGCCATGAGTGGAAGTACTCAGATATGAATATCCAATCTTGCAGCACCAGCCAGTGGACAGGGAGTTGCCAGCCCAGGGCTCTGGGGCAACTACTCCTGAGGGCCTCCACTGTGGCCTCATGCAGGAGCTACTCTTCCCTTCAGTGCTTCAGCAGGTCCCATTGAGTACCTGCATGTGGTTCTAGATAACCTCCTTTGTTGTGGTGGGTCTCTATCAAACTCAGCAAAACTTTATAGAACTCTGAGAGTTTCTATACAAATGTGCCAATAGCAAGCCTGCATGTCAAGTTCTTTCAACACATGGGACCCTTGATGATGAGCTATGCTAAAAACCTGACAACCCAACACTTGGAGCTGTGTGACTTTGAAACTCATCTTCTCTGAGCCTCATTCTCCTACAAAATGGGAATCTGCCAGCAATTACAAGGTTTAAACAAAGTCTTGTTTGTTTGTCTTTTTCGTTTTTATCGGTACCAGGGATCGAACTCACGACTGCCTGCTTGCAAGGCAGGCGCTTATGCCGCTGAGCTAAATCCCCAGCCCCTAAAGTCTTGTTTATAAACAGCTTTGTGAAGGACATAGCTCATACTAACAATTCAACTGAATGTTGACAGTAATCAAACTGAAAATCACCTTATCAACAAATGAAGCTGTTTAATTTTAAGCACTGTTTCTATAATTCCTTTTCATTCATAATTTTTTTTTATTGGTACCAGGGATCAAACTCACAATCACATGCCTGTAAGGCATGTGCTTATGCCGCTGAGCTAAATCCCCAGCCCCCTTCATTCATAAATGTTATAAGGAGAAAAGAAAGTTAATGCCTCCATCCCGTCAATCACAAACCAGTGCAGATGGGTCCTTTCAGAAAGGCTCTGGCTCTGAGGTTTTCCTGAATTCTCAAAAGCACTGCAAGACACCATGTTCTCAGCTGTTGTTGCTTTTAAACATCCAGGACCTCAATCTCAATGTGATCCCACTGCCAGGCCTGGGGGTGCTTTGTTTCAGACTGGAAAAGTCATGCTGAGCAGGGACTAAGGCACTTCCAAAAGCTGACACAGGAACAGGAAGGTGTGTCTGTTCCCAGGTGTTCAGCTTATGGCCTGACCTACTCTCTCAAGAAAACTTCCCTCCTCTGTCCAAAAAGAAACTAAGGGAAGTACCTGATCTACCCAAAAAGAGGTAGGTAAAGACCAACAGGTAGACAACAAGTTGCTGGGGCTCCTGAGATCTGTCTTCTGCCTGGAGACTGGAGGGGTAATTTCCTGCTAAAGGTCCCTCTAGTGCTTCTTCTTATCCTGGCTGAGTCAGTTCTGTCCCACTTGCCTCAGCAAATGAGAGCCATTTCCACCTCCACTGATAAGGAGGAAATAAGACTCAGAGAGGCTTGGGACACAATCAGTCACAGAGTCATAGATGGCTACTGCAAAGGCCTCTATCTCAGCCACAATGCACAAGCAAAAGGCTAAGAACAAAAAAAAGACTGAGAACTACTCAAAGAGAGTATAACAACTCTTTTGTTTTCCAGTACTCCTGATAGATTTAAGGGCAAATTGGCAGCAGAATGAAATTTGCATGTATATTTATATAGAGATGTTATTATATCACAGAATAACCCTCTACATTGTGGACTTTTACTAAAAACACCTGCAGGTTGAGCTTTTTGTATACCAAAGAGTGTCTGTGAAGGAAAAAATACATTTTTGGAGTGTTATTTCAAATGATGGAGCCCTTCTTCAGCCAGCCCTCTGTTTGTGCTACAAGATTCCTCTCTAGCTTGTTGGGGTACTCTCTTCCACTTTGGACAAAGTGTCTCCAGGCCCAAAATCCCATAGATAAATGGCCAGCCACAGAGCCTGTTCAGGCCCCAGATGTGGGAGGATAAGGAGATGGCAAAGCTGTATTTTCACTTTTCTCAGTGCCATTCCTTACTGCCTGTTTGGGTGAAAAGCTTTGGTGATAGTGAAAAGCCAGTTAAGCTGTGATAGGCACTGAAACGGTAGCTGGACTGATGTTACATTCCCAAGAGTTTAATGCCCTTCTCAAAGGGGTGAAGGAAACAACAACCAGAGAAGATGGAGAGCAGACTATGACCTCTGGACTCCAAACCTTCAGGGGCCACAAGAAGCTCCAGAATTAGAAGTGGAAGGCAGGGACATAAAGAAAGCAAGACAGCTCCAGAACTAACAGATGCCAATTTCCAGATAGAGAGGCTGCTTTTTCATTTTGTTCATCATGAATAATGGAGAGAGAGAGAGAGAGAGAGAGAGAGAGAGAGAGAGAGAGAGAATAAAATTGCTAAACTTGAGAGATAAAGAAAATATCTTAATGACTTCTACAAAGGGAAAAACAGTCACAAAGAAACAAAAATACGCCTGGCATGGTGGTATACACCTATAATCCCAACACTCAGGACACCAAGACAGAAGGATCGTCACAAATGAGGGCAGCCTGGGATACACAGTTCAAAGCCAGCCTGAAATACACAGCAAGAACCTGACTCAAAAATCAAACAAAAAACCACAAAAATTAAAGACTATTAATTAAACACCTTAGGTGCAACCCTGGTTAGTACCAGAAAGCATAAGCAACACCTTCAAACATTTCCAGTACTCTGCTGACTGAGGCAGAAAGATTGTGGACAGGAAATCACCCACAATCCAGCACTACACCAATTGCAGGACAAGAGCAAATTACTACACAGTTTTGGGAGTGTAACTCTTGGTACCTCTTTTCTCAAGAAGCCAAATGCAGATGCACAAAATGGAAATATGAAATGGGAAAGAAGAGAGACAGAAAACTAGATGAACCAACCCCTGAAAGAAAGGAACTTGCTGGGGCTGGGGATTTAGCTCAGCGGCATAAGTGCCTGCCTTGCAAGGAGGTGGTCGTGAGTTCGATCCCTGGTACTGATAAAAAGGAAAAAAGACCAAAAAAAAGGAACTTGCAGGGTACAGAAGAGAACCACCCAAGATCACAGTGATGAAACCTGGAGACACTGTGTCTCAAGAGGGTAGTGAGGAACAGAGGGAATGTTCCCAGGAGAGAATTCAATGGTCTCAGCAGTGGGCTGGGCAGTAGGGGTGGGATGGCAATTCAGAATACTAAGAAAATAAGTTGAACATGATGATGGATGCCTGAAATCCCAGAACCCAGGAGGATGAAGTAAGAGGACTGTCACAAATTCAAGGGCAGCCTGGGATACACAGTGAATTCAAGGCCAGCCTGAATTACAAAGCAAAGACCCTGTCTCAAAAAAATACAAACAAAAACAAATGAAGTAAACAAAACCATGATGGCAAGCACCAACTTCAGCAGTAGCAACTGCTTGTCAAAAGGAAGACATATAGTAGGAATAGGGCCAGGCTCTGGGAAGGGCATCCTTGATTTCAGCGAAGACTGGCCTACAGGGCTGATATGCTGTCAACTTCACAGCAAGAACCAATAGCGCCAAAGCTGAATGTTAGCTTCCAGGACTCAAAGCAAAGCCAATCTTTCACTTTGGCTCACCATGGAAACTACTGCCAGGGTAGTGTACAAATTAGGCAAGAAGTAATCCAGACCCAGCTCTGAGCTGGCAAGCCCCTTGCTGGGTCTCTCTCCTTGTAGTGACCTACAGCAGAAATGGGACAGCAGCACCCTCCCAGCCACTGCAGGACACAGTAGCAGGAGATGGCAAAAACTTCTCAGCCCCAAGTCCAGGCTCAACCCACAGTCCTGGAAATTCCCCTCACATCCCATCCCCTCAAATAATTTCTACCCCAAACCATGGAAAGTAATTTTTAAAAGTTTTTATGAGTGGCTTGGAAAAGAATATTTTATAAAATGATTTCTAAAAAGCTATGACTGACTCTCAATGCATTTCAGAACATTTTTAGCAAGTGATTAAAGCTTTGCCTACCTTGCCACCTTCCTGCTGGAGAGTCGCTTGGCTGGGCTGTGCAAAAAACCAAACAAACAGGAAAATCATGTCAGGGAGCAGAGGGACAAGAGGAAGCAGGAAGCTCAGGCTGAGGCGATAACGGGGTGCAAGCATGCAACCCCCTGGCCCAGGCAAACCCCATGCATAGAATACCCACTGAGCAAAAGATGAGACTACAATGTCTTTTGTCAAAGTCTCTGGCTACCCTCCTAATTCCAGCCCCAAAGTCCCTCAGATGAAGTAGACTAGACTGTAGTACAGAGCTGATACCAGTTCCTGCACCAGCCATCTATGGGTCAATGTTAAATCTCACATGATTCTAAAGCCAGATTCATCCCTGGCCCTGACTCATGTTTGGCTATTGGAAGCCTCCAATGAAAAATGACATAGGCCTACCATGATAGGAAGGACTGTCATAGTTTTAATTTAGGCACTGACGCTTCACATTCTTAACACCTGCAGAGTATTGAGAAGACCTTTCCTGAAGCCCTTCCAAGGTGAGTGTAGTCAATTACACGGAGGATGCAACCATCTGTGAAGGAAGAAGGGCCACATGCACCTGCTCCTCTTTCCTTTCTTTCTTTCTTTTTTTTTTTTGTTTTGTTTTGTTTTGGTGGGGGTGGTTATTTGGGATTGTTTTTGGAGACAGTTTCAGCTCGACAGTTCAGGTTGGTCTTGAATTCTCAGTGATCCTCCTGCCTTGGCCTCCTAAGTGCTGGGATTAAAGGCATGTGTCACCACATACGGCCCACTCCTCTTTCACTTCTGAGTGTTACTTCCCTGCCAAGCTATGAGCCTCAGGCTGAAGACAATTTATCTGTAAGCACAAGAACCATTTGCCAGGAACTCAGCCACTCCAGCCTGCATAGTCAAGTCCTGATCAGAAAGGTTATTTTCTTTTTGCAATGTGAAATTTTGTCAGTAGAGGGCACTGGATAGATGGTGCACACTCCCTCCATTGCCTCTCTCTCTCTCTCTCTCTCTCTCTCTCTCTCTCTCTCTCTCTCTCTTTTTTAGAGAGAGTAAGATCTCTCAGTACCGAGGATCGAACTCAGGACCACGTGCTTGCAAGGCAGGTGCTTAAGTCGCTGAGCTAACTCCCCAGCCCCCCCACCCTTTTTTTCCCCCTCCATTGCCTCTCAAGGCCATGTTCTTTTTTTTTTTTTTTTTTTTTTGTCTTTTTCGTTTTTATCGGTACCAGGGATCGAACTCACGACTGCCTGCTTTCAAGGCAGGGGCTTATGCCGCTGAGCTAAATCCCCCGCCCCAAGGCCATGTTCTTTGCCTCCTCATGGCCATGTACATCAGTCAGCAGCACTAGAGGCCAGCAATCATATCTCACAATGCTAGCTCCTGCCCAGATCCTTCTCAGCAAACAGCTTTCCTGCCACATAAGACAGCAATTTTCCAGCATGTTTTAGAGGGCAGATCCCCAAGACCTGACAGCCCTCCATCTCTTGACATCTGTCACCCACTTGTGGTCTGCAGTCCCTAGCAGGGTACAAATCCCCACTCTGGGTAAGTGTGGCTCTCACTGGGGTTTGAACCTCAGTCCTGCGTGGTGGTTGCTCATCATTCCCAAGTTCTTACAGCTGGTGGGTACCCTGTGCTCTGATCTGCCTTCCTCCTTCTTAACATACATTTTTCCCTGTCTGGTGACTGTATAGTTCCTTCTCCTAACAGGGTCCTGACTAGTCCTAGGTACCTTAATGCAAGTTTGATCTCTGCCTAGTATCACAGATACTCCCTAGAAGAAGACAGGTCAGACTGCTCAGCTTGCTAGCTGACATCTCTGCGTCTAGATAGGCAGTACAGTGACGTGTTCATAAAATGAAAATATGCCCCAAAGTAAGGGATTCTAGAACAGATTTTTTTTTTAACAGGAATTCTCACATGCCTGGGAAACACAGCTGGCAATGGTGGTATGGTGACTGATGAGATGTCATCTGTGACCATGGAACTCTTGGACATGGAGCTAGATCCTTTCATCATTCACAAAATGTGACCAAACAACTTATTCTGAGCAGTCCATGGAGACCACAAAACTTGACTCAACCTCTTCATGAGAACCAGTGGGACTTAGGCTGTGCACCCTGGCTGAACAGACACCCATTCCCAAGAAGCCTGTGGAGGGAGATGGGTAAGTGGGCTGGCCTGAGGACCATGGGCTTGCTGGTAAGGCTAATCCATTCTGTGCCCCCGCAAGACCCAGCAGAGGTGGGGCAGGTTTCTCAGCATAGGAAGAGATCACTTCCATGTCAAAATCCTCAGAGAATGAGATATGACACATATCTCCTTTCATGATAGAACTGCATTCATTTTCATCACTGGCTAAAGGGCAAGTCTGGACAGAAAGGACATAGCCCTTCCCAGCCAGGCTGAACCCCTCACCAAGCACTTAAACAGCTGAACATACAAAGCTGGGGTGAGAACTCATCTCTCATGAGGTGGAATCACCAAGAAGTCTCCAGGGATACCTCCCAAAGGTACACTGGCTTTTCACCTGGCACCCTGGATGCCCAGGTGGATGGGCTCCCCCACTTTCTGCACCTTACTGGTGCTGCACAGAACATAGCAACAGCCAACATCATGTGCCAGGAAAGCTGGAGGCAGGATGGCAGGACACAAAGCCATGACCCCATAGGGCATGGCAGACAAGGGCAGATGCCACAAGAAGCCTGGATAGTCCCCTAATGTACTAAAACTTTCAAGACTGTGCGCCCTCTTCTACCACTTTTCCAAACCCTCTCACCAGCCTAAAGGTCCTTTCTTCAAGAAACTTCCTGCATGTGTTCACTCACCTCCTATACTTGGCTGGGCTGCTGTGGGAAGCTCCACAACTACCCATCTCTGCCCCAGATCCTTCTCACAACAGTCCATCCAGGAGATTGTTTACACCCCACACTAAAACAAGATGCCTGGGACATGTTGCTATGTGCAACAACCCAAAAATGTTTTCTATGACTGTGTTTATGAAATTGTGGGGAACCATCAAAAATAATTCTTTGGAGCACTGACCCAGGCTGGGGAGGCAATATAGACAGAGGAAGCAAAGAGCTGAGATCTAACCACAACATGTGAAAAAAGAATTAAGACAAGGACTGGTCAAGGGGAACAGTAGGCACAGCATTTAGCCCAGTGCTTCAAAGCTGGGCTCCCCTGAAGCTGGGGCAATATTTCCCTTATAGAGCTTAGGAACCTGGAACACAAACTCTGATTAAAGTAGCTTTCCAGAAAAAGTTATAAATCTGGTTTTGAGCACCAATCTTTAAATTTCCCAATTTTATCTTAAAAAGTAAACTGAAGAAATCTATTAGTAAAATGCAAGGAGTATCCTCTTTCACCTCAGGGCTGTTTCTTCCCTCAGAGACAGCAGCTATCAAAGCTGCCACTCTCATCAAGAGAGTCAGAAAGCAGCAAGCACAGCTCACGCATGCAGGGAGGGCTGGGGCCAGGAAGAGTCCCACTCTCTGGGGACCCTCCTTCTATGGAAAGTTCTAGCTGTACCTAGCAAGAGTACCCAGTCAGCCAGGCCTGAGTGACCAGGACAAGGGCACTTTGGGCCAGACCAACAAATAAGTTGTGGTTGGTGAGAGCTTCCCTTACCCTTGGAACACAACAGGGCCAGGCACTATATCAGTTACCTATTCATCTCAAGATCATTCAGGCGGGCTGAGAGATCCTCAAGGCGGTTGATTTGTTTGTGGCACTGGCTACAGTAAAACTCAAAAGCCTCGTCAGTGAGGATGCTGTGCAGCTTTGCAGCAAGCGGGTCGGAGCTAGAGAGACAGAAGTATCAGTTCAGGACAGGGAAGGCTCTGTCAGGTCATCTGTGATGCCACAGGAGGCCTGAGGAAGACAGAACAGGTCCTGGAGAAAAGGAAGTTGGAAGAGAATGAAGTATGAAACATTCTGTTTTGTTTTGGTTTTTTTGGTACCAGGGATTGAACTCATGAGCAAGGCAGGTGCTTATGCTGCTGAGCTAAATCCCTAGCCAAAGTATGGAACATTCTGGCTTTCACTTCTGGACCTCTGTGAGTGCCTTCACCATCACCATGAGAAAGCTGTTCACACTGAGGAGACCAAGGCAGCCACCAGCTGAAGCAGTACTGCTGGGATGGGAGTGGCAGTACATGGTTCTGCTGCTGCACACACCTGCCCTCCTGTGGACAGTGGATAGAACAGATACAGCTAAGAGCTTCATTGTAAAACAAAAGCCTTTAGCTGGAGGTAAACAAGTGCTCTGCTTTCTCCTGTGTGGAAAGCATATCAATATGAGAGCAACATGTGACTCTAGGTAGTTTACCTGCTGTACTATTTTAATAACATAACTACTCTAAAATGTACCATTTTCAAGAACTATGTGTAGACAGTGCTTTACTAACAGTTTAATGCTTTTTAAAATGTGTGCTAAAAACTCAAAATTTTATTTTCTGGTTGCACTATCTGACCACACTGTGACCTCATTTCAGTGGTACTCAGGGCACTATAGTATCTCTGCTACCAGAAGTTGAGCTGGAGGCAGTCTCATTCTGGAAACAGGGCCCACAGACTTTTGGAAACTATTCCACACATTAATTTATTTTTGTTTGCTTGTTTTTTGAGTCAGGTCTTGCTTGTAGTTCAGAGTGACCCTGAACTCATTAATACCACCTAAACTGGAATCAAACTCCTAGAGATCCTCTTGTCTTAGCCTTGCAAGTGCTGAGATTATAGATGTGTGCCACCATGCCCAGTTCCACAAATTAATTCAGAGGAAGGTGGACAGGAAAAAAAAAGCACGAAGTTACACTTACAACTGAAAACAGTGGATAGGAGACAGAAACAAACTACACCAACAGAAAAAGACTGCCAGAGCAGGACTAAACACAGGGCTTAGTGCCTTGCACTGCAGTTCCCTAGGACATACCCTGGGAAAGTGAGTATCTGGGGGCAACCTGGAGGACCCCACCTAACAGACAATGGTAGCTTCAGCTTCAGGGTGGCACATGAGTGGGAGAACCCCTGGCTCAGCCCATGGTGTGGTCTGGCCCTCCTGCCACTGTCCTCTCCAGGTCTAGGCCATGGCAACAACTGGACAAGGGAAGAAGCTCATGGTTCCTGGTTTAGAGACTCTTGGCCTCTGTTATTCACAAAGATGGGAAACTTCATGAATCCAACAACAAAAGGCAGGCATGGATGGGCCATTCAGCCAGGCCTAAGGCCTACTTAAGAGGCAGAAGTGTCTTCTGATGGGCTGAGCACCAAGGAGGGGCTACCCAGGCCTCATCTGAACACATGCCATGTAGACTCTGAATTCTACCACAATCTCTTCATGCAAAGCCCTGAAACCAAGTGAGTATTTGGGCTACCAGAGGTCAGGTACCATTTGTTCAAAGCCAGAACTTTCTACAGAGCTTGGAGATGCCAGCAAATTATAAAGAAGGGAATCTAAAGCCTTGCTTGTGACTTGAGAGCCTGCCTCAGAGTCAACCATTGACTATAAAGTGATAACATGAGCAACAGTTAAAGAACCTACAAGCCAAGTCCTGCACATGGCTCCCAGCCTTGTTGCACAAGTGAGGCTTCCAGAGCTGGATAATCTAGGGTGACAAAGGGAGCTATTAACCAACTCTCAAGCAGGTCTAATCTTAAACTTTTTGAATGTGGTATATTTAACTACATTACATTGAGTAAAGCAAGTTTTCTCTTAGCAGTTTATAAACCAAGAAAAAAAAAGCATCTGATAACTAAACATGGGAAGGAGAGAGGTACATACTCAGGGCAGGAGTACCTTACCTGGGGGTGAGAAAAGTAGGATCGCTGCACCCCAGCTCTCCATTGCAGAGGGTCTCTGGGGACAGCTCTACCTCATTGCCTTCCCCATAGTCCTCAAAATGCTCCTCGCCACCAATCACCATGACGACAGCCTGGCCACGAGTACGGGACCTGCAAAGGCAACAGGGGCAACTCTGACTCCAGGCCATAGGCACCAGTTGGCTAAAGGAGAGATGTGGACTGTGCTTTCCAGCAAAAGTGTGCTACAAATCACAAGCCTGTGTGCCACTGTCATATGAGCTATATTTTTAAAAAATGTGTAAAACAGGTAAACCTGATTTTAATAAAATACTTAGCCCATACAAAAAACACTATTCTTTCAAAGACGTGAGATTTTTAATGTATTCTTCCTTGGGAAATGTGTGTGGTACACTCCAGCACATCTCAGTTTGCATAGATCACACTGCCCATGCTCAGCAGCCTGCATAGGTGGCACAGGTCTACACAGATGTAGGTCCAGACCCAAGGACCTCACCTCCGCTTTAAAGAGTAGCTGTCTACACACAGCTGGTGACCCACAGGAGTCAAACCTGTTTTAATTTAATTTAGTAGCAGATTTCAATTGGGAAAGGGAGGGAACTTCCAAGCATCCATGCTACTGTACTCCAGAAAGGGAGCGTAACTCTTCCATACCAACTTTCTGGAAAAATGGAACTGGTAGGCTTGGCTCTAAGATGCTCCAGAGCTTATGAAACACCTGTGATTTTGGCAGCTTCCTTCAGAGGAAACCTACAAAGTGACCCTGTGATTGCTCACTTAAAAGAAAAAGCCCATAGCATGAAGGAATCACCCCAAGCAGATCAGAAGAGACATGTACTGTATCCAGAGCATAGATGCTCAACAGGGGAGCAAGTTCCAGTTCACACCCACTATAATATCACTAACCAGTCCTGGAGCAGCTTAGGGTAATGAGCCCAGTGCCTGAACACATGTGCTTTCAGCACAAGTGGTCCCCTGCCCTTTGCAGGTATCAGCTACCTGAGGTCATCTGTAGCCCAAAAATATTAAATGGAAAATCCTAGAAATAAATAATTCCTAAGTTTTTAATAACTTTTATTATATTATATTATTATAATTTCTTCTATTAAGTAATTAATCTTACTGTGCCTGATTTATAAACTAAACTTTATTATTTTTTTTTTTTTTGTCTTTTTTGTTTTTATCGGTACCAGGGATCGAACTCACGACTGCCTGCTTGCAAGGCAGGCGCTTATGCCGCTGAGCTAAATCCCCAGCCCCTAAACTTTATTTGTATGTACAGGAAAAACTATAGGATTCAGTACATCCATTGTCTTAGTTATTTCTTTTTTCATTGCTGAAACAAAATACCCAACACTCAAAGTTAAAGATGGAAAGGTTTATTTAGCTCACAGTTTGTGGAAGATTCAGTCCGTAACACTTCATGGCAGTGAAAGATACCAAAAGCAATAAGAGCAAAAAGGGGAAGAGCAAGCCTAGGTCTACACAGACGTAGGTCCAGACCCAGGGACCTCACCTCTGCTTTAAAGAGTAGCTGTCTTCATATGGCTGGTGACCAACAGGTCAAACATGTTTTAATTTAATTTAATAGCAGATTTCAATTGGGAAAGGAAGGGAACTTCCAAGCATCCATGCTACTGTACCCCAGAAAGGGAGGCAGTATACCTCCCTGTAGTGCAGGAACCAATCACAAACTATAGATTCAGCCACCTCCAAAAAGTCCACCCCCCAGGAGGCTTTGGGAGGATATCTAAACACAAACTATAACATCCACACTTTCAGGTATCCCTGGGGATCTGGGTATATATCTCTGTTGATAAGGAGGGTTCCTGTCACCTAGTGTGTTCTCACACTTTACCCAAATATGCTGAAATGGGCATGGTACCACTATTTTATTGTTATCATTATGTCCAACTCAGTCATTGCCTATCAGTAATCACGTCCTCATTTTGCAGGGTGACAGGAAGAAACAATTTCCATTCTATTTTATTTCTTAATATTAGCTAATTATTTTAACATATCCTCATATCTTGTAAGAGAAACCACTATGAAGAAAAGGCACAAAGGAAGCCCCACCTATCATATGTGATATTCCTGTCCCATGGTGGGCCAGGTGGACAAGGCCCACTCCTCCCTCAGAAAGGATATTAGGAGCTAGATGACCATCACCTCTCCCTCCACCTGTCCCCATGCTTCTCCACAGAAGCAGACAAGGACCACGCCTATTATCTGAGGACTAAGAGGTTGTTGGTCTGAATGTCCTTCAGCTGGATACATCAAACACACCTCCTTTACTAAGTCCGCAGAAATCAGGTGACCAATTCCTTGTTACTTCATAGTAAGTTTCTTAAAACATTTTCCTCCCATAATATATATATTTTACAACAAGGTCTAGCTATGTAGTTCAGGTTGGCAGGGCATCGGTGGCACATGCCTATAATGCAAGCACTTGGGAGGCTGAGGCTAGCCTAAACTATACAGTGAGACTGTCTTCAAATAAACAAAACTAGTGAAAAATAGGAAATGTTTCAAACTTCCCCTCATATGTAGTCTGACAGCTTCAGATTCAGAGACTTCCTAAGACTTGACATTTATTTGATTATTTGACTCAAATTGAATTTAAATATGAATTTGCCTTAACTTTAAAAACTTTAAAAACATCTGTAAGAAAGCTATGGGCAAACAGCAATCTTTTCCCTAGAACTTCACGGTACTCCATGTTCCACCTTGCTCTACCCTTCCCAAAGCATGCCTCATGTGCCAATGTCTCCTCATATTCTGTCTCCACATACACATGGGAAGCATTCTTGGCAGATGTATTTCCAGGTCTCCATAGAGTCAGGCCTGCCTCAGCTCCACATGAATACAAATGCTACCCATTTACACAGACAATCACACCCCATGCAATATCAAACTTTTGAAAACCTAAATAAATAGAAAGAGATGTTGCGCTCAAGGATCTGAATACACAATATTGTAAAGATGTTGAATCTCCACAAGTTAACCTATAGATCAACAAAATCCTAACCAAAATCCCAACGGTTTTTTTCTCAGAAACTACAAGTTGATTCTAAAATGCACTTGGAAATACAAAGAGCCAAAAGGCACCAAAGCAACACTGAAGAATAAATTGGAGAACTTACACCAGCAGACAGCATGACCTATAACCATTCCAGGATAAAGAGACAGTGTGGTGTTGACCCAAAAATGGACAGAGTACAGAAGAGACTCACAACAGCTCACAGGATCAGTGACATTCATGATAGCAGAGCAAGGAGAAATGTTTGAAAATGGAGACCAAATCTGTTAGATACCATCTAGGAAAAATGAACACTACTTCACATCACACACACAAAGAACCAGTTATAGTGCTTGCTATGCATGTATGAGGCTCTGGATTCACATGAGGGAGAGGGGAGGGGAGGGGGAAGAAGCAGAGAGGGAGGGAAAGAATTAATTATATAGAAATCATATATTTCTGAAACATGAAGGTAAAACAATGTTTTTTTAAAGAAAGGCAGAAATAAACATCATAGAACTGTAAAATAGAAGATCTCTTTCTTTTTTTGTTTTGCTAACAGGGATTGCATTCAGGTTCTCAAGTATGTTAGTCAAGTGTTCTACCACTGCACTGTATTCCCAGTCCAAGAATTCTTTTTTTTTCTTTTTGAGACGGGTCCCCTATGCAGTTTAGGCTAGCCTTGAGCTTACTTTTAGCCCAGGCTGGTGTCAAACTTGCAATGATCCACCTGCCTCAGCCTCCCAAGTATTGGGATTACAGGTATATGCCACATCACCTATCAAGATTTCTTTTTTTTTTTTTTGGTCTTTTTCCTTTTTATCAGTACCAGGGATCGAACTTACGACTGCCTGCTTGCAAGGCAGGCGTTTATGCCGCTGAGCTAAAACTCCATCCCCCTATCAAGATTTCTTAAATGGAATACAAAATTTGCTAATTATAAAAGAAAAATGGATAGATAGACTACAGTATAGTAAAATTAAAAACATCTGCTCTTCAAAGACACCACTAGGAAAATAAAACAGAGCTCAGAGAGTAGGCAAAGGTCTCTGTAACACACACCCACTAAAGAACTCACATCTGAAATATGAAGACTACTACAAACCAGCAGAAAAAAAAAAAAAAAAACAACACAGTAGAGCAGGGGCAGGACACACCCTGCCATGACTTGCTTTTGCAGACAGTTGTTCTAGGGCAAGTATCCAGGCCCCCTTGCTAACATGTGGTCTGTGGCTGCTTCTGTATCTCAACAGCAGAGCTGAGCAGCTATCACAGAGAGCATATGGCCTAAAATTGTCTGGCATTTTACAGAAAGCTGCAGACCTCCAGGAAAAAAAAGAAAGAAACAAAGAAACAAACAAGACAACCAGATACTTCACAGAAGTGCAGCACTCAGGAAAAAGTGCTCCGCCTTCAGGCATTTATGAAATACCAGCAAGAACTACACTGCAGCAGAGCTGAATTTCCAGAGGCAGAGCATGAGCCAGCAGGAAGAACAGGGACCCCACATGGCTAGCAGGGGTGAATCCACTCTAATCCCTTTGCAGATGTCTGTAACTGCAAGAACAGCAGGCAATTTAAAGCTGCAGGAACATGCTCCCAGTGATCCACTATCCTATTCCCAGAGACAAGGTACCAGAACACCTAGATGTTTATAGCAGTTACGTTCTCAAAACTAAAAACAGTAAGATATTTAAAATGTCCTTTGACATTATAATAAATTAAAAATTTATAGCATATTAATACAGTAGGATACTATAATAACAATAATAAATGATATACAACTAAGCTCAAAAACAGGAACAAATCTCATAGTCACAGCACCAAGTGAAAGAAGTCAGGTGCTAAACGGAAACTTCTGTGTGCCTGCAGTCATGTAAAATGGGAAACTAAGCAGAGGCTTGCTGCCCTGGGAACCTCATGCTTGGGAAGCCCCAAAGGCACCTTGGTGCAGGTGTGATTTTCTTGGCCTGTGGTCAGGCACATTGTGCTCAGTGTGAAAAACCAGCAAGCTATGCATTTGTGTCATGAGCACTTAGATAGTTGTAAATGTGTTATACATGCTGGAGAGAAAATAAAAAATCATGAGAGACAAATTGAACAGAAATAAAAGAAGGAAAACAAAAACACTTCTAAGCATGCTAAGCATAGTAGCTTCCTGGGCAGCTTGGGGTGAGACTGAGCATGACCCTCTTCCACTCATCACTTTGGCAAGCTCCCTGCAAGTCTTCAACACCAGGGCCAAAGCCATCCTAGGAGGGGGACTAAACACTTGGTCTGGACAGGGTGCCGTAAAGACATTTGTTGTGTCCTCTAGTCCTGGCTTTAAGATCTGTGCTGACAAAATTCAGATAAAGTCTGCCTCATCTTATGTAACATAACCAGGGTATCCATCATAAGGAGGAACACTTCCTGGTGGGGAAAACAGCAAGCAGTCTTACTCCATGAGATGACTCTACATTGTAATCCAACACAGCAGGGCTTACTACGTACAGACCTGCCCGGAAGCAGCAGCAGTGCACCTTGGTCAGGCTCCTCCATGGTGTCCAGGCACTCAGAGGGCACAGCGGAGCCCCCTGCACTGTCGGCATCCCCCTCAGGATGCAGTTCAGGGTGCACCAGGGTGCTGGTGTCCTCATCAGTGAAGGTCTCACACTCACTGTAGGTGCTCTCGGAGCCCATATATGCACTGTCTGTCACCTCAGTGGCCTGGGGGAAAGAACCAACAGTTAGCTGGGGCAGCCATGGAGACCATACTATGGAGGTGATAAGGCAACAAGTCTCAGCCACATCTCCAAACAGAGATGTTCTCTCATAAAACAGGATTCATGGGGTTTTTTTGATTGTCTATATTGTGAGTGCTGGGAATCACACCCAGGGCCTCCCATATGCTAGTGCTCTACCACTGAGCAACATCACTAGTTCAACAATAGTTTTGTTGTTTGAGACCAGGTCTTGGTATGTAGCCAAGGCTACCCTCGAACTCATAGTAATCCTCTTGCTTCACTCTCTTGAGTGCTGGGATTACAAGTATGTGCCACACCTGGCCCAACTATAGTTTTTAAAATGAAAAACAGGCACATGTCCAAGAATAGACAGAAATATTTGGAGTCATTTTAAAAGTGAGTTAAATAAATCTACTTAAAGGATATACAAAGTACCCCAACATCACAGATACCAGTAAAGCTACTCCTGTGGCTTCTAGCATGGGAACTATTCATATCCACAAAAATTATCATCCAATAGTGCACCATCTACCTTTTTAAATTAAAAAGTCACCATTAACAGTCGTTTGTACCTTCAGAACATTACTTTGAAATTCAAAGTCAAATTTAACCTCAAAATACTCATTAATCAGGCAGGCATGATGGTGCATGCCTGTAATCCTGGTATTTGGGAGACTGAGGCAAAAGGATCACCATGAGTTTGAAACAGCCTGGACCATATAGTGCATACAAGGCTCACCTGAACTACACAGTAAGATTGTGTCTCAAAATAAATTTTTTTTCATTAGCTAACTCTGTTGATTAGTTAAATGTTTACCTGTCCAATCTATTTTTACTTTTATGTACCTAGCCTCTACCACTGGCATGGCATATTGTGGACAATAACATTCATAGACTGAATAAACATAAAACTAAAGAATCATTAGACTAGATATTTTCAATTTATTTAGCTTTCATTGAAATGAATTTTCAGGTTAGACATAGCCCCATTTCATGCTGAGAGGTCTGAGGTTAATAATTTGCAAACAAACAAGATTTCAGAAAAGTTGCTGTTGTAGCAGGAAAATATGCCCTTGATACTGTGGATCTGGAACCACTATGAGTGTGAAGAACAGGTGGCTGCCCAGAGAACTCTGCAGGGTGCATCTGAGGCTCATCTGAGGAGACTTGGGCCTGGGCTGTGTGCTGGATGGGAGGTCCTACCTTCATCCTTGCCTACTACTGAAAGTGCATGACCTCAGACACATGACTGAACCCTGGAGCCTCTTCTGTAAACTGGCTATAGATAATAATCTCACCAGGCAGCCACCTCAAGACATTGAGATAACACAATCAGGTGTTTTGCAAAGTATTAAAAATGAGATTGTATTGAGTTCAAGGTTTTGGTGAAAAAAAAAAAATGAGATTGTAGGTTATTCCCTCTCTGGAGATAGAAACCTCGCCACTGTTATAAAGCCAGAGTAAGACAGAGAATGAGCCATGTACTCACTGCAGGTGTCTGGCTGGTTATCACATTTCTGAAGGACAATCCAATCCTCCCCTAGAGTTTAAGGAGGTAATTCAAAAAACTAATTCATAGACAGCATCTACTTCAAAATCCCAAACCAGAAAGTCATCAAGATGACAGATCTAGTCAGCACCAGGAATAACTCTCCAAAGTAAGGTCAACCAGGACCACACCTCACACTTTCACCCCACCCCACCACCCTGAGCAAGGCCAACTTGGTACAAACTGTTAACTTTAGATGAGGAAAAGCTATTAATCACCATGACAGAACTGTAAATTTACTGGAGATGTATAATAGCAGATCACAATTATAAACTCACACATAGAGTACCAGGGAAATTTTACACAGTCTTCTTCTTCTTCTTTTTCCTTTTTTTTTATCAGTACCAGGGGTCGAACTCACAACCGCCTGCTTGCAAGGCAGGTGCTTATGCTGCTGAACTAAATCCCCAGCCCCATTTCCACAGTCTTCTAAGAAGCTTGATTATTAACAACAAAGGCCAGATCATACTCTTCAGTATTTAGCCAAAAACTTCTAAGAACATTACTCCTGGTCACAAGGATGGCCCCACCATCCTTGTTAGACCTACAATCAAACACTCAGTGCGTAACAAGGAAAGTGGGAACCCTTACCACCAGGGTGGAGGAAATTCCAACACTGACCCTGAAGACCAAGGCAGCACTGCTTTCCCAAGGACCAAGGGAGAGTTTCCTGTAAGCAAGAGCTCGATCTTTGAGGGAGGCTTACAGAAGAACTTTTTTTCTTGCCTGTTTTGGTGGCACTGGTGAAGACTGGGGTATGTGGGCCCCAAGCACAGTAGGCAAGTGCTTTCTAACTGAGCTGCATTCCCCAGCTTGAGGCAGGCTTTTAAGAGTCTATTGTGCTCTGATGGACACCAAGGCTCCTCCTGGGCCATGTGGATCCTGAGTTCCCAAGGGGCAGCCCAAGTGTTTTAACAACAAACCAATGCTTTCTTTCTCTCAAATGCAGTTCAAAGAGAAACTGCAAGTTTCTCAGGAAGGAAAGGAGGTCTAATGCTCATTTCACAGAGCTCTTGTCCTGCCCACATAGGCAGAGGTGTAGAATTGTAGTCCAGCCCTCCCCAGGGCCTAGACAAGATGGCTCATGGAATAATTACTGATGCTGAATGGTGGGGCAAATGCACAACTTTGGGTCTCCATGCTCCCTGTGAGGAGTGGGGTGCTCTCTCAACTCTAGCACTCACACGTGCCATCACAGCAGCCGTTTATCCCCTACCTAACTCTCCCTCCCCAATCCTCATTTCTAAAATGAGGAATCCCACCAGGTGTGATGGTGCACCTCTGCAATCCAAGTACTCAGGAAGCTAAGGCAGAAGGATCATCATGAGTTCCACGCCAGCCTGGGCTAAGCAGGGAGTTCAAGGTCAGCCTGAGCTATACAGTACAACCTTGTCACCAAAAAATAATTAGTCCACTAGAAATACATCTTTTATTTTGTTTTGTTTTTGAGACAATGTCTCATTGTGTAGTTCAGGCTGGTGTAGGATTTGTTTATATAGCCTAGGCTGGCCTTGAACTCACAGCAAACCACCTGCCTCATCCTTGAGTACTGGGATTACAGGGGTGCACACCATGCCCAGCCAAGAAACACCTTTTAAAATCATGACCTGTCAATATTTTAAATCTTTTAAGACTTGATGTAATGGAATTATCCAAACACACATGTTTTAAGCACATGTTTTATCAAATCAGGATGTTATATATATTGTATCACTTCATAAAATATATACTTATGATGAGAAACTGGTTCTATTTCATATTTGATTCTATTACATTTTCCTTAATGTTACTCTAAAATCTATGTATTTCTATTGAAAATAATTTAATCTCCAGACACAATAATTATCTTGTATTTGGCTCAGTGGCACAAGCACTTGCCTGGCAAGCACAAGGTCCTAAGTTTGAGTCCCAGGTCTAAAAAAAAAAGATATAATTAAATATTCTCTGGAAGACACTTAAGATTTTTAAAAATAATACCCAAAATTGGCTACAAGTAGTAACAAATAATTTGAAATGTTAGGTGTCTTTTTCGTTTTTATCGATACCAGGGATCGAACTCACAACCACACACTTGCAAGGCAGGCGCTTATGCCGCTGAGCTAAATCCCCAGCCCCCAAATAAATAAATAAATAAATTTTAAAAAATGATTCAAATGAGAAATAAGTGGGAAGAATCATTCCTGAACCCCAATGTAAATTAGAGGAGGTGAGCTTTTATTAAAACGTAGATTAGAAGGGCCAGGGATTTAGCTTAGCTGCATAAGTGCTTGCCTGGCAAGTGCAAGGTTGTGAGTTCAATCCCCAGTACCAGAAAACAAACAAACAAAAAACCAAAAAAACAGATTAGAGTTCTTGAACTATAAAATAAGCTCTCAATGACTTGTAAATATTCTACATTCTATATTCCTATAATTTCTGTTTGGTGATTTAAATGCTTCCATTAACAGTAGAAAGAACATGGCATTAGGAATTAGGACACCAAGTTCTAGAGTCCCATTTCTGCTATTTACTGGCTGTATGTTTTTAGACAATAACTTCCTGAGTCTCTTGTCAGTTAAGGCATGAAGAAGTGATCTTTATGGTCCCTTGGTGACTGTGCCAGGGTTTTTTTTTTTTAGACTGAGAATTGAATCCAAGGCCTTTGCACCAAACTACATTCTAGGTCCCTCCTCGCTACCCCCACCCGCCTTTTTTTTTTTTTTTTCTCTATTTGAGCCAGAGTCTCACTACGTATTTCAGGTTGGCCTTGAGCTCACTTTGGAGCCCAGGCTGGTCTCAAACTTCCAACAATCCTCCCACCTCAGGCTCCCCAATGCTGGGATTATAGGTCTGTGCCACCGTGCCCAGCTCCAGGGTCTTTGTCTAATTTTTATTTTTCACAGGTTGCCTCCTCCTGCTTAAATTACTTATTCTGAAAGTAAAGTCCCAATAACTTGCCCAGCTTGGGCTTGAATTTGTGATCCTCTTGCCTCAGACTCACAAAATGCTAGGATTATAAGGCTGTGCCTCCACACCAGGCTAGATTCTACTATACTTTTTTTTTTTTTGTCTTTTTCATTTTTATCAGTACCAGGGATCGAACTCACAACTGCCTGCTTGCAAGGCAGGTGCTTATGCCGCTGAGCTAAACCCCCAGCCCCTGATTCTACTATTCTTAAATATCTGCTATGTATTTGGCCTGACAAATCAGACTAATAGCACCACAAGGTTTCTACTGCATTGTCTCCTGGGCCTAGTATTAAACCTTTGTAATTGCTTGGGTGTAGTTCAGAAGTAGCGCACTTACCTAGTATACAAACACACACAAGTTTTAGAAAAAGTTAATGATAAGGGAAAGAAATTTTAATTTTGTATGTATGACCTTGGTGGTAATAAAGAATGTCAGGAAATATGGAAGTTGTTAAAAGCAATCAAGAAGGCTGGAAGTGTAGCGCAGTGGTAGAGTACCTTGTCTAGCATCTCAGGCACTGGATTCAACCCCCAAAACTGCAAACAAATGCAATCAATATGTAAAACAGATCATACTCCTCTTTCTACTCTTGGAATGCCTGAACTTTCCAACAAGAGACTAAAACAGGTTGGAGATACATGAACCACCAGCTTCTGAAAACTTTACCAATCATCAAAGTTAAAATGAACTCATAAGAAAATCAACATGTATCTTAGAAAACATCACAGTAGGTTAAGGTTATATGCACCAATTAACACAGAATACCAAGTGGGTCCAACACTGCCCAGTAGCACCCACTGTCCACTGTCCAGGTCAGGGTGTCTTTTTTTCTTTTGTTTTTTTTCTTAATTTATAAACGGGAGGTTGGGGATTTAGCTCAATGGCACAAGGGCCTGCCTGGAAAGTGCTAGGTTATGAGTTCAATTTCCTGGTACCAAAAAAAAAAAAAAAAAAAAAAAAAAAAAAAAAAAAAATCTATAGACCAGGAATTGAACTCATGGCCTTTGCACTAAGCTACATCCCCAACCCTTTAAAAAATTTTTTTATATTGAAATATGGTCTCAATAAATTGTCCAGGCCATGCATAGTAGCACACCCCTATAATCACAGCACTCAGAAGGCCGAGACAGAAAAAAGAATTACAGTGAGTTTGAGGCCAGCCTGGGCTACACAGTGAGTTCAAAGCCAGCCTAAACTACACAGCAAGACCCTGACTCTGGGGAAAAAAACCAAAAACCAAAAAAAAACAGGTTGTTTAGGCTGGGCTCAAATTTAGGATCTTCCTGCCTCAGGTTCACAAGTGCTGGGGTTACACCATATGCCACTATGCCAAGGTCATTTTTCTTAAACCAAGTTTTGTGCATAGTGCACACTAGCGTCTCTTCTTACCCTCAGTGCTCCTTGGGGGTCTCACGGGCTTGGCTCTGCACACCAGCTCCAGGATGGCTCACTGCTGGAAACGGACAGCCCATTCTATCTCCATTCAAAACAAGTCACTGGCTTCTTTTAACTGACCTCCCCATTTGCTAGTTGTACTGGGGTTTCTACAAAACTGTGGCCCACCAGAGAGGACCTCAGCCTTAGAGAAAGTTTAACCTGCTCATAGACACGCTCTATTACACCTCCCACTGAAGCTGGTCAGGGAAAGAGTAGCAAAGTTCAGTAAATGTCCTTGATAGTTTAACAAACAAGGCTCAAAACAGAGTGGCTTTTGTTTTATATTTTGTAATTTTCTGATAACAGTTTGTACAAGATACATTTCCTATCATTTCTCTCAGTCCAGCACTAGAGGAAGGATGCACAGAGCAAGTCCATGTTGCTTTGGCTCTGGCCTGCTCTTTGTAGCCTCCCCACTGCTCTCCAGAGCTGCAGATAAAGCGCTCTGACCTACATACTTATCCTTTCCCCTCCTCTCAGATTCTTAGGAGCTTTCTTCCCATGACCATTCCTGTGAAAGCCTGTAGTAAACCTTAAACCAGCCCCCAGCTCTTCCCCTCCATCAGGCTGCAGATTGAGACGTATCAATCAGCAACCTTCACCTGTGACAATATAAGCTCAAGGAGTCCTTAGAGTGGCAGGAGTCTGGACACCCGCTGCAGGAAGCTGCAGCTCATCAGTAATTAAGGTTCATATGTGCATGATCGATCCCCAGTACTGGTAAAAAGAAAAAAAAGTGTAAAACGCAGCACTCCTGCGCCATCAGCCATAGCCCACTCCCTGGCAGTTAGAGGTGCTCATAAACATGAGAACTGAGTGGAAGAACTCTCTGAAGTATCTGTTTCATTTTCTGTAAACTTCAAACTTCTCTAAAACATAAGATATGTTAATTTTTAAAACGTAAGTAACAAACATTTAGAAAAGGTTTCTTCCACTTTAAAAAAAAGCCAGAATTTGAAAACCTGGGGAGCATTCAGGCCCTACACTCTAATACTTATCAGTTACAGACAGGATGAACAAGCCAGGTAGAACCCAACTGGGGATGCAAGGCAGGACTCTGGCCCTCTTTGTTCTTGGAGACAAAGCTGGGAGGGATCTTTTTGGACCAAAGTGACAGGCAGCCAGGAAATGAGTCTGGCTACTTGAGGATGACAAACAGCTAGGACAGCTTCCCACAGCAGGGACAAGAGGTACAAAGGTCAGCCACAGCAATCCTGGGCCCCCCCGCACTGGACTTCAGAAGCTTCTGGGACACTACTAGATATAACCTTCATGTGACCAAAGAGCCAAGGCTCAGAGGATTGAAGTAAGGAACTTAGGGTCCCTGGTTTTTGGCCCATACCTTCAGGTGGAACAGAAGGCTGAGAGCAGCTGGCCTCTTGAGTACCTAAGACTATAATCTCCACATCTCATAAAGAAAACAATCCAGATCCAGCCACATGGCTCCCAGGCCCTGGACGTCTAGTCTGCTGGGTATGGTGAATGGCCAGTTTTCTCGGCTATGACTTTCTGCTCAGCTATAGTGACAAAAGACTTTCAAAGATGTCACATCATCATGACAACCCTGGCTGCACCTGGGAGCCACAGATGGAGTATGGAGGGGCAAGAATTAATCAGATATCGCCCAATACAGAAAACCATTTGTGGTTCCATAAAAGGAAACCTCAAAAGCCTTCTCCTTTGCCCTTCCCTGGGAGGTAACAAAAATACCACCTAGAGCCCCATCACCTACCTGTGCTCTGCTCTATGACAGGCCCCCAGAGAGGACTCCCGCACACACCCCCTGTCCCTGGGAACCGCATGTGAAACAGACATTTATTGATCTCCTACCACAGCTAAGAATATGCAAAGACACCTAACTGGCCCCCTTCTCTTTACACCATCTCCGAAAAAAAGAGACTCTAGAAGCAAGATGTATGGCACACAGAGGAAGACGGGGAGCAACCAGACTTGCCTCATAGGTGACAAAATCATCAAACTCATCAGCACAAGTGGGAGGGTCTTCATCCTGGGCAGGTGGCATGCTATACAACTGGCCATCGGGATCTGTAAAGAGAAGACCAACACTCAGCAGGCCATCCAAGGACGTAGAAGGTAAGGGTGCAGGTACATGCCAGGCTCTCAGGAAAGACACCAAACATTAATGTGGGAGGCCTGGGGGTCACTGCAAGCAGGGAGAGAGAAATGCATTCAGTCAAGTGTGAGAAATACAGGCTAAAGTGCCCAGCAAGGTAAGGTACAAAAGCTACACCACAGAATGCTAAGGAGATTGTGTCTGGTAGAATGACTTGATTTTTATTTCTTAAAAGAACCATATAAAGCTGGGTATGGTAGCAGATGCCTGTGTTCCCAGAACTTGGGATGCTGAAGCAGAAGGATCACCAGGAGTTCAAGGTTAGCCTGGACTGCATAGTGAGTTCAAGACCTCCCCATCAGTGAGGCCTTGTTTAAAAACAAAGCAAAACAAAGCAAAAACAAACAAAAATTCCATACAGTACTGTGAAAGAAAAAGAGCAAAATACAAAGTTCTGTAAAAATTGCCAGCTTGTAAGAACTGCCAGCTACCAATCCAGACTCAACTGATAAGACCACTCATACTCAGGGGGTATGGAAACAATGAAATACAGAAATACCTTCCCCTGGCACCAAACTCAGAAGTAGTCTTTATTGTTTTCTTTTTTGATTAACCATGTCATACACAAATGTTTTCTTTTAAAGTAGACCTTTATGGTTCTGGTTTTGTTTTGTTTTTTGTTTTTTTGGTACCGGGGATTGAACTCATGACCTTGCACTTGTCAGACAGGCACTTACGTCACTGAGCTAAATCCCTAGCCCCATGTTTTCTTTTATATCAAGACAAAATTGAAGAGAAATACTATCTCTTTATGGTAAACAGCCAAATTCTGATGTCAGAGGAAAACACACTGTTTCTGGAATACACTGACCCTCTTACCTCTGCCCATCTACTGTGAGAAAAATCACTGACCTTTGCTGTGTCATACTGTTCAGAAGCAGAAAATAAACAGCAAGGGACATACAAGAGATGCTTGATGTCCTACTACAAATAAAAGTATTACACTTATGTAAAATACATCAGCCACTTGTTCAATATCTGTTAACATTTTTAACGGCCACTTATCTAAGAAGTGGTCTAGAGTCTTTCAGACCAAGTGGAATAGCAATCTTCACCAGACACTCCTGGAAAAGTACTTTGAAATAGTCACCAAGAGCTGCCTCTAAGCTGGGCATGGTGGCTCATACCCATAATCCCAGCACCTGGGAGGCTGAGGCAGGAGGATCATTGCGAGTTTGAGACTAGCCTGTGCTACACAGTGAGCAAGGCCAGCCTGAACTGCATAGTGAGACCCTGCCTCAAAAAAAAAAAAAAAAGAGCTGCCTCTAGCGGGGCCAAAGGAGGCCTAGAGCACATTCCTGTGTGATCTACACTGTTGGGAGCCGTGGCACTGTCAAGTCATCAGACGCGGTGATTGCGAGGCCTGTGGGAAAGTACAAAAGCCTGAGCTAGATTACCCCTCTCATCGAGCCCGCCTGTGTGGCACCTGTTTCTTATCACCCCACTAAGTTCCCGCCTCACAGGGTAGTCTGCCTAGCTATTAATCCTATATATAGCCAGTACCTCCACCTTCGGGAGAGAGACTGAAGCACGCAAGGAGCCGCGGGGAGCGGACCGGTAGAGGCTTCGGGAGAGACTGAAGCACGCAAGGAGCCGCGGGGAGCGGACCGGTAGAGGCTTCGGGGCAGACTGTATAAGGAGAAAATAAAAGAAAAGCCTGACCACCGCCAGACCTTGTCGTGTGTCTTTCCTGCCGGCCGGGAGCGACATCGACACTACACCATCTGGGGAAAGCCCTATCCTACTGCCACACTCCAGCAGTTTCAGAGGGTTGGGTAACGAGAGCTGGGTAACTGGTGAAGAGAGGACAAGTGTCCCAGAAACCCTCACCAGAGAGCAGACAGGACACACAGCTGCTCCATTAAGTTTCTGGTTTCTCCAGAATATTTTACAGAATTTTATATAGAATATTTTATATAATTTTATATAGAATAATAGCTGATAATTATGCAACCTCAAACACTGATACTCATGGTAACTCAATATGGCTCTCCTTTTATGTCTTTTTTTTGGTCTTTTTGAGACAGGGTTTCACTATGCAGTTCCGACTAGCCTTGAACTCACTTTGCAGCCCAAGCTGGCCTCCAACTCTGTGATCCTCCTGCTTCAGCCTCCCAAGTGCTGGGATTACAGGCATTCACCATCATGCCCAGACTCTCATGTTTTTGAAGAGCTGGCTATAATATTCCCAGGAACATGCTATGTGGTTGATCTGGGTCATGACAGAGAGTAAATGTACATATACAGTCTGGCCTCTTCTGGTCCCTCAAGCAGGCCTGGCCTTCCCCTACCAAGCAAGAACAGTCTCTATACTAGAGGTCCACTTACTAGGTCTAGGTCAACTGCAGCAGAACCATATATACTTCTTTTTTTTTTTTTTTTTTGTATCGGGGATCAAACTTATGGCCTTGCACTTGCCAGGCAGGCACTCACAGCCACTGAGCTAAATCCCTGACCCCATACATACTTTTTTTAATGCAAGGTGAATACTGCCCAAGATATAACTTTAGGACTCTAGAGCATAAGAGGATCTATCATCCCAGAGCAGTCAAACTGGGCACATTCCATAAAAGGCTAAACTATTTCTGGGAGTTAATATGTTAATGAGTTTGCTTGCATTTCTAAAACTGAAACTCAGAACACAAAGCTTTAAGAACACAGCCAAGCCTTTCAGACATGTGGATGTGGCTCAGATTTTGATAGGGTGGGGAAGTGATGTAAGAGTTGCCCTCTGTGATCCAGGGAGAGAGATATGAACAGATCTTCTGTCCTTATAGTCTTGTTGAAAAATAAACGTAAATCTTCTATTAGCTTTTTCTATAAGAATTAAAACAATTTTTAATTAGTGGAAAACTTTAATATGTACTTATCTTATTCTTCCAGAGCATGAGGCAAAGTAATGAATTATTTGTAACAATTCCCTCTCTATCTCATTTTATTCCTGAAATAAGGCCTGTGGCTTTAACGAAAGCCTCCTTGCACTCCCCTGTAAACTGGGTCAATCCAACCTGTCATTTACTATGCTGTTCCTTGATGCAGTGTTAAATACAACAGATGAGGGGCTGGGGATTTAGCTCAGCGGCATAAGTGCCTGCCTTGCAAGCAGACAGTCGTGAGTTTGATTCCCGGTACCGATAAAAAGGAAAAAGACAAAAAAAAAAAAAAAAAATACAACAGATGAGACAGGTTGTCCACATGTGCCATGTCCACATGGCACACAGCAGGTAAGACCTGAAGTGAATTTCAATAAAAATGCAGTTCAAGTAACGATGCTTTTCTTTCTTCTCCTTCTCCTGTTTTGTTTTGTAGTCCTTTTTGGGCTAGGGTTTTGCTCTGCAGTTCAAATTGGCCTTGAACCCACAGAGATCCTCCTGCCTCAGCCTCCTAAATCCTGGGACTACAGATGTGAGCCACCATGCCTAGTTCTCCTTTCTTTTTTTAATTTCTATTAATTTTTTCTTTTTTGCTTCCTTTTTTTAAATGCTATGAAATAACCTCAAAATTATCTGACATGCTTTCCTTTTCACCTTCCCTTCCAAATGAATGTAAATAAAGTCTCCAAACTACTAAACAGAACAGCTAAGTCACTGCTTCCAGCCCCAGTGGCAGCAAGTCTATCACACAGTGGGATACATGCCTCTCACTGACACTTACCAGCTCTTCTTCTCACAGCCCATAAGAGTTCCAAGACATAGGTTGATGAGCCACAGTAATGCTTGGGGGCACACCAAGCAGCATTTTCACAAGCAAGCCTGAGGCTGAGCTGAAATTAGGACTGTTCTCTCACAGAAAAGGCCAAGTCTCCCAAGGCACTCTCAGTCCAGGACACTGCCACCAAACCAGCCTTCTAACCCTGGCTGCCTGACAGCTACCAAATGTGCTAGGCACAGGCCTGACTCAAGATACCGATGCCTGGATGCTACCTCCCTGCTCAGTCCTGCTTCCCCTTCCCCCATCTCCAGACTTATCATCTGCAGCCAATACCCAAGGGCAGGTGGTTCTGAACATCTTTTGTGTCCTCAGAACCCAGAGAGTCCAGCTCAACGGCAATCATGTAGCCTCCATATATCCATGTCCATCGTCCTCATAGGTCTTGGCTGTGCTCAGCCATCTCTACCCTACGTGATTTCAGTTCTCTTATTGCAGCCTCCCTTGGTCAACCTGATCAGGACCCCAATAGAAAAGTCCACCCCAACCAAGTTGGGTTCCCCCTCAAAGGCCCAGGGTCTGTTCCACATAGGTTAAACTCAAGGGAGTGGACCATGTATCTTAAGACATACTCCAGTGTGTCAGGCTGAAATCCAGAGGATGCTTCTATTTAACCTTGCTATTAAGGAAACAGCACCACTTCCTAGAGTATCAAGACTAACTCAAGGATGAATAGGAAAGTTTTTGTTTGTAATTAAATCAAAACGGTAATATTATAAAAAGGAAAAATAATGTGGTTAAAAACAACTCCCATGGGGTTTAAGTGCAGTGAAGGGTGCTGGTGCCAAGAACCTTTGTCAGATGTCCTATATCAGGAGCTCAGAGCAGCACACAGTTGCTTCTTTTCAGTTCTAGAGATGCACAATGCACCCTCACCCTGCTGTCATGCAGGGCACAGCTGCAGTACCTTACCAACAGAACACATCCCTGAGAGGAAAAGCAGAGTGCAAGTGCAGAAGGATGACAGGGCTGGATGTAGCAAGCAGGCTTTGTCCATTCAGAGCAAAGCCATGAGATGGTTTGTTATAGAAGGAGGCAAGGAGGAGAGGAGGCTATGATAAGAAAGAAGATCTCTGGCCAGTTTGTGGGGACCAGAACTCATTTGCCTCTAAAATAGAAGGTCATGAGACCCCTACCAGGATCACCTAGGAAGAACAGAGGGCCACCATAGTGACTGTTAACATAGGCAGAGAGAAGGCCAAAATGGAGAAGGCCCTGTACCTCAGCAGGCCAAGGAAATTGGGGGACTGACCATTCTCAGATGACTGTTCTCTCACACCAGAAACATAAATATCCACATGGTCCTTAAGTCACTAGACTTCAAGTCTCCAGTTCTGGAGACAGGCACAAACCCAGAGTGTACTCCATTTCTTATTAACTGAGGTCCAGTAAAACAGACCAGTATGACAGCAGAAGCATGGACTCTGGGCCAGAACAGGCTTCACAGACTCTCCTGTGCTAACCTCCTTCTTGCCCACATCCACAGCTCCTCAGGTTCACTGTTCCTTCCAGCCTCAACCCTGAAGAAAGATCTGCAGAGTGAGACAGTCAACTATCCAAATGCAAAATTAAAAGGATATGTATTAGAAAGAAGTCAAATTATCATTATCTGCTAATGGCATGATCCTCTAAACAGCAGACCCCAAAAAACTACCATCAAAAGAGTTTTAGGATTAATGACCAAGTCATCCAAAGCCAATGTTTGGTTGTATAAATATTAGGTTGAATTACTATGACTGTAAAAAAAACAGAGCTCACTACTGGTTCAAACAGTATTCTAGAGGCACATTTTCTCCTTCTTCCATGTTTGTTTTCCCTGCACACACTGATTTACCTCCAAGTACCCATGGTCTCCCCATATCGATCATATTTCCACCACAAATGCTCAGGCAGAGTTGTGAAGGGCCTCTCAAAGATCAGTCAGTTCAGAGGACCTGTCACAGCTATACCACCATCAACCTATATTTACACAGGCTCAATCCATTACTTGCGAGTGATGACAAAAGAAACCTATACAACAGACAGACAGAAAATGCCACCACCTTCACTGGGGTCCTCAACATGCTGCCTACAATCAAGGTCAAGCAGGAACGAATGAGTCTGGAGATGGTGCACATAAGAACCCTGAGTTTGACAGAGAGAGAATCAATATCCTTTCAAATATGCAGGTCATAAAAGAAATAAAAGATAGGTAAAATAGAAACAGGGAAATCATAACTAAAAATTCTATTTTTAAGAAGTTAACAACTTTCAGGACTCGGCTGAAGTTATCAAAAGCCATAAATTGGCTTAATTATGAAAGTACAAAACAGGAGCCTGATGCTAAAACAAAGACAACTTATGTCAATATTTCTTTGGTTAAATTTACACTTCTTCCAGACCGGGCCCATCACGAAAAGGCCACAAATTAGCATAATTAAGGAAGTAAACAAATTGGGCATGGTGGTACACATCTGTAATTCTAGCACTTGGGAGGCTGAAGCAGCAGGATCATTGCAAATTTGAGACCAGCCTAGGTTACAAAGGGAACTCAAGGTCAGCCTGAAAAGGATAGTGAGACCTTGTCTCAAAAAGCCAAAAGAAAAAGAAAAGAAAAAAGAAGAAAAGAGAAGAAAGAGAAGAGAAGAGAAAGTAAACAGTCTGAGCATGGTGGTACATGCCTGTAGCCCTGGGACGGTGAGGCAGGAGGATCACAAGTATGACCTCAGTTTGGGTAGTTTAGAGACCTAATCTCAAAATTAAAAATTTAAGAAATGTTTTGGATGTAGCTCAATTCAAAGACCCTTTGTTCAATATTCAGTACAAAAAATAAAAACAAAACTAAAAAAGTATTACAAACAATTAGGTCTGAAATTAACTACAAGATTTTAAAATACTTTTAAAAATTAAGATGGTTTTTGAGGCGGGTGTGGTGGCTCAGGCCTGTAATCCCAGCACTCAGGAGGTTGAGGCAGGAGGATCCTTGCGAATTCGAGACAAGCCTGGGCTACAAAGTGAGCTCAAGGACAGCCTGAACTGCATAGAGAGACTCTGCCTCAAAAAGACGGAAAAATAAAAAAAAAATTAAGATGGCTTTCTGACATCTGGTGGGTGAAAGAAGAAATCACAATGGGGTTTTGGGTTTTTTTGGTACTGGGGAATCAAACTCATGACCTTGCCCCTACCAGGCAGGCACTTAAGCCACTGAGCTAAATCTCCATCCCTCACAATGGGTTTTGAAACTTAGAAAGAAAAGCCCACACCAAAAAGTTCCCTGAGATTAAAAGGTGGATGTTGCTAGAGGGTAGGTTATCCTCAAGGGCCATGGGCCCGTCATGAGGGCCTCACACATCCCTCCCAGCAAGCCAGCAAGAAAAGTCAAAATTTTCAGTTGCTACAAAACTCTCTGAGGTTTAAATCATTTTTTAATTGCACACCAACCCTCAAAACACTACTCAAGGATTACAACTTACAGACCAGGCTGACCAAGACAGGCAGGCTCAGCCTGCTGACACTTAATTTGGGAACTCCATGGTCATCCTAGCTCAGTGATGCCAAACTTTTAAGATCTTTCAATACAAACAAACACTCACTGCAGCATGTGTGCCATAGGTTCACCACTGCTGGTTAGTTGTTTTCAAACTTGTCCCCGCATAGGCATATAGGAGCCAAAGGAGCTACTTGTCTACTTGGCAGTCTCCTCTGGGCCCTGCTCACCGGGAAGGTTGTCTTCAGTCTCTCCCTTCCTGACCTACCACCATTATACAGGCCAACTCTTGTTCACCTGGACCAGGCGGCCCTCACCCAGTAATTATCCCTTACCATCCTTGGAGACAGCATGCACATTTCATCTGTGCCCTACCTGCTACTCTAACCACACTATCTACTCATCCTCTCACCATTGCCCACTGTCCCCACTCTGATGATATGTCACCACGGAGTCCCCAGAATTGAGCTGGTGTCCACAATCACTTTATGAGATTCCCCAGGGCCATCTGAACACTTGATGATTTAGGAAACCCAGTCCTTAAATGACATTGCTGAGCAATGATCTGGGGAAAGGACAGATTACAGCTGCTGAGAAGACCTGAGGTACAAAGGTTTCTCTAGACACAATCATACCTAAAGGCTATGAACCTCTCCTGGCCTGTATCTGATATATCCCAAGTGCAACAAGAAGGGAGAAAACCTGTGACTCTATTATTGTCAACCTCAAATAACCCAGGAGAAGACAGAAAGATGAGAAGCTACTGCTCTACTCAGAGCTTTGATTGACTGATTTGTACCTGGGATCAAACTCCCAACCTTGTGCTTGTCAGGCAGACACTTATGCCACTGAGCTAAATCCCTGGCCCCAGAGAGCTTTGATTTAAAAAACGATAGTGTATGGGGCAACTGGTGAGTGTAAAATACTCAACTGCTGTGAAGAAACAAAGTTTGCAGTCAGCACATGACCAATCCTAAGCTTCTGTCCAAGGACAGGTGATGTGTTACCCATACACAGTATTATACTCAACTGTTCTTGAAAGCATTATTCTTTTTTTTTTTTGTCTTTTTCGCTTTTATGGGTACCAGGGATCGAACTCACGACCATACAGTTGTAAGGCAGGCGCTTATGCCACTGAGCTAAATCCCCAGCCCCAATTCTTTTTTGTTTTTAAAGGCAGGGTCTTACTGTGTAGTTCAGACTGGACTTGAGGTCACTAAGTAGCCCAGGCTGGCCTCAAACCTTTGGCAATCCTCTTGCCTCAGCCTCCCAAGTGCTGGGACTACAGGCATGTACCACCATTTTTGGCTTGAAAGCATTATTCTTAGCAGCCCAAAACAGGTGTCTATCACCAGGAGGACAGATGAATATAGTACAAGCAGCATACGTTGCAACACGTGCATTAGGAAAACAGATGAGAAAAGGCCCTGGGCTTAATCCTTAGTACTGTGAAGGAAAAAAGACAGAAAAGTAGAGAAAAAAGAGGGAGGAAAGGAAAGAACAGGAGGGAAGAAAGGGCAAAGAAGCTGTCATGATAGGATATGGCTGATGGGGAGGTAAGGGTGGAAGAAGACTGTGGATGGGGGCACAGTCTTAACAAGAACCAAATGCAACGTGTCAGAACTCAGATTTGTATATCTGAAGTCTGTACCTCTAACAGTAGGTAAATTTATCCTCTAAAACAGTCTACAGCTAGATGTGGTGGCACACACTTGTAGCTCCAGCATTCAGAAGGCTGAGGTAGGAGGACTACTCCAAGTTTGAAGCCAGCCTGGACTATATAGTGAGTTCCATGGCAGCCTGAACTACACATCGAGACCCTGTCTCAAAAAAAGAAAAAGAAAAGAAACCTAAAAATACTGAGCTCTAGATAATGATTGGTATGAGTGAAAGGTAGGGGAAAGTATATAACCATATACTGATTTGAGATGTATGCTACTAAAAAGATGTATTGGTGAACAAACAGAAAAATGGATGGGTGTAACAAAACAAAAACAGCAAACTGTTGCCAATAGGATATAGGTGTAAATACATATGTGAATGCTCACTGAGTGATTTTTAAGATTTTTCATCATGAAAGACAGAAGCTTCTAACATCATACATAAATAGTTGAGTCATCTGGAAGATTAGGGGGAGTGTAGAGCAAAGGACAGGAAGGAAAAGGAAAAGGCAAAGGCTAGGTGTTCAGGGATTTGAAAAGCAGTGGACTAGAAAAGGGTAGTGGTCACAGGGCAGCACTGGAAGGGTAAGGGCAGGAGAAAAGGGGTACTGACCTCCACTTCTAATGGCTGAGATCCCTTGGCAGAAGTCTTCAAAACTGATCACGCCGAGCCCACTGGGGTCTAAGTACTGTGTCAAGTCCGTCACCTGCAAGTTTCAAATAAGAACATGTTATTCATGGCCTTCAAATTGGGGTATACTGTGCACTGAATCCTCTGCCACAAAGCAGCTCATCTGAAAAGTGCAGAGGTCAAGTAAGAGCCACTGATTCCTCCGATTCAGGTGGCCAAAGTGGCCATCAAAGCTACTATAAACAGCTCCATGAAGAGGCAGGGTGTCATCCTGGAAAGTAGCTATCAATGAACATAAGGATCCTGAATCACAGAAACAAAGATGCTGGCTCTTAAAGTCAAAAGCCAAGCCTGAGTGGAAAGATTAGGAGTTGTAAATTTCAGTGATTTTTAAAAAAATTTTGAATTTGAAGGTAGTAAAATACAACAGAACAAGGCAGAATAAGGCCAACTGAGACAGTATAGTGAAACTGGTACAGAACTTCACAGCAGGTTACTGGGATAACAGCAATAGGTATCACAATATATCTCGTTATTTTCACAATAGTTGTTCTTTCAATCACATATAGCAAAATCAAATGAAATACAGAATATTATAGAACTTATCAAAACAGAATATTGAATAGAGCAGTACCATTAATCAGAATAAAGCAAAACAGTGATAAAAATATTTGCCTTCAAAGAGATGGTAGAAGGAAATCCCCCTTATTTGCTATGGTCAACCTCCCAAGAGATGCTCAGATCTCTGGTTCGCATTTGCTAACGGTGGGGGGCGGGGTGTAGGAGAAAGGGTGTGTGGGATGATTGACTCTCAGCCCGTGCACCAGTAGGCTCACTATTGCTTAGCAGGGAGGCAGGCTGGTTGCTTGGCTTCCCAGCATCCTAAGTTCCAACATGGCGCAGATCTCAGGAGACACTGGTGGTTCTCCCCCTGGAGGGGCCGCAGCCTGCCACACCACAGCCGCTTACCAGGGAGGGGAGCTGCTTGCTTGGTTTCCCAGCATCCTAAGTTCCAACATGGCGTGGTGGTTCTTCCCCAGGGGCGGCCACAGCCAATTGCAGTGATTGTCCCAGAAAATTCCTAGACTATTTAAGTGAAGTATAAATCCATGTCACTCATTCAGATAGGCTGCTATAGGTCATTAATAAATGACCTATATTGTGATAGCAAACTCAAGTAGGGTAATACTATATATGCTCATTAGGACAGATGCAACTCTTTTTTTTTGTCTTTTTCCTTTTTATTGGTACCTGGGATCAAACTCACAACTGCCTGCTTGCAAGGCAGGCACTTAGGCTGCTGAGCTAAATCCGCAGCCCCGACAGACGCAACTCTTAAGAAAAAGACAATTTGTAATCTATTGATTACAAATTACAAAATCTAGTGATTTCTTATTATTTTTTAAATTTTTATTACTTGTACCCTTTTCCTGTTTTTTTTCTTTTTCTCCTTAAATAAAACTAAAAAAAAAAAAAAAAAGAAAAAAGAAAGAAAAAGACAATTATATTGCTAGGGATAAACTAGATCTCATCAAAATCTAAAACCTGTGCTTCAAAAGACAAAGAGAAAATATTTCTAAATCATATATATGATAGAGGATTTATATCTACAATATATAAAGAAATCTTTAAATTTAATAAGAATTTTTTATGCTGGGCATGGCACTGCATGCCTGCAATTCAAGCACTTGGAAGGCTGAGGGAGGAGAACTGTTGCAAGCCTGGCCAGCCTGGACTACATATAGAAACCTTGTCTCAAAAAACAAAAATCAAATACAAAAAGAAAGAATTTTTTCTTTCTGTGGTGGTAGGAATTAAACCTGGGGCCTCAGGTATGCCAGGCAAATGCTCTACCACTGAGCTGTATCAGTAGCTCAAGAGTTTAACTCTTTTAATGACTGTAAGATTTAAATGCATAAGTCATTTTAAAAAACAGACAATCCCAGCCCTTGGGAGGCTGACACAGGAGGATCCCTGTCAAATCAAGGCCAGCTTGCACTACATAGTAAGTAAGTTCATCACCAGCCTGAAGTGCATAACAAGTCTCTGTCTCAAAAAAATAAAAATAAACAAATACACACACACAGAGCTGGGCATGGTGCCATATGCCTGTATTCCCAGCAACTCAGGAGACTGGGACAAGAGGATTTCTTGAGTCAAAGAGTTCAAGACCAGCACAGGCAACTTAGCACAATCTTATCTCAAAACAAAAAATAATTAAACTTTGGTGAGGACGTGAAGAAATTGTGCTTCAAACTTTCGTAGGACTGTAAAATGGGCAGGCCAACTCAGAAACCATTAGGCAGGCAGTGCCTTTAATAAGTTCACGATGAGGGGATAAATTGTATGTCTCGCTGACAAGTGGCTCTGACCACCAGTGAAGGACGCATGACTTTCCCACTGAGCAGCATGGGACAGTCCTACCAGGTGGTAGAAGCCACCCAATGAGACAGTCATGCATATATCACCAGTGGTTCAAACCAACAGGAATGTATTAAAAAGTTAAATAGGGGCTGGGAATTTAGCTCAGTGGCATAAGCGCCTGCCTTGCAAGCAGGCAGTCATGAGTTCGATCCCTGGTACCGATAAAAAGGAAAAAGACAAAAAAAAAAGGTTAAATAAAAGCTTATTATATAACAATTCCACTCAGTAACATCTATCCAAGAGATTTTATCCACACAAAACTGAACCTTCATTCCATAATGTTTCAAAAAAATAAAAAGTCCTCAAATGCCCACCAACTGACAAATGGGTAAATAAAATGCAGTGCAAATGTGGTGTGGAATAGAACATCATTCAACCATAACAAGGGCTGGGGCACTAAGAAACACAATGTTCAAAACACACAACCTCAAAACATCATACTCAGTGAAAAAAAAAAGATATAAAATACTACAAGTTACATTATTTCATGTTCAGGAAATTTTTAGAAAACAAATTATAAATTTGCAGAAAAATCAAGAGCTGTGGAGGTAACTCAGTTTTACAGCACCTGTCTAGCATGTGTGGCCCGAGGTTTAATCTTTAGTACTATTTAAAAAAAAAGTGATTATCAATAAAAAGCAGACCTGTGGCTGCCTGGGGTTGCAGAACAACGACCCATTGAAAAGATCGTCTTTGGCTGCAGAAATGTAATAAAACTAAGGCCAGGGGATTTAGCCCAGGCACAGGACCTGCCTGGTAAGCACAAGGTCCTGAGTTTGATTCCCAATACCAAAAAAAAAAAAAAAAAAAAAAGAGAGAGAGAAAGAGAGGAAATGTAGAACTATCATGGTGATGACTGTACAATTCTATAAACTTACTAAAAACCCCTGGAAAGCCTACTTAAGAATGAGAAAAGTTTATGGTGTATAAATTATACTCCAACAAAGCATGCACTGGTTTTTAAAAGACATGAATATTAATAGAACAGAATGGAGGAGGCAGAAACAACCCAAAGCACATTCAACTATTTGATTTTGATAAAGGAGCCAAAAGCACACACTGGAGGAAAGAGAGCCTCTGTAATAAACAGTGTTAGAAAACCGGGTATCCGGGGCTGGGGATTTAGCTCAGCGGGGGATTTAGCTCAGCGGCATAAGCGCCTGCCTCGAAAGCAGGCAGTCGTGAGTTCGATCCCTGGTACCGGTAAAAAAAAAAAAAAAAAAAAAAAAAAAAAAAAAAAAAAAAAAAAAAAGTAAAGAAAACCGGGTATCCACATGCAGATTAAATCCTGACCAGCTACTCTTGGAATGGATCAAAGAACTAAATGTTGGGGCTGGGGATTTAGCTCAGCGGCATAAGCGCCTGCCTTGCAAGCAGGCAGTTGTGAGTTCGATCCCTGGTACCGATAAAAATGAAAAAGACAAAACAAAAACAAACAAAAAAAAACAACAAAGAACTAAATGTTAAAATACAAACAACCTGCTAGAATTTAAAACAGACAAAATACATAAGTCATAAGTTTAGACAAAGACTTTAAGAACAGAATCTTTCTTTAATGGCAGAGTATTACTCCATCATGTGTAAATGCCCCATATTCTTTATCCATTCATCTATACTTCCAAGACGTAGAATTGTGTTGATATAAACATAGGTATGCATGCAAAGCAAATAGTAACCAAAAATCAAATGAGAGCACATCTGCACAGCAAAAGAATCAGTTAACACAATGAAAAGACAACATGAAAAATGGGAAAATTTTTTTGCTAGCTATAACTTAAGGGCTAATATCTAGAAGATATACTGAGTCAGGCAAAAAAAAATATGTACAATTCAGGAAAAGAAAATAGTATGATGCTTTTCCAACAGATCGTATTACCCTCATATAGGAGACCTTAGAAGATGTCATATATTGCAGAAAATTCACTACACTGTCAGCTCTTAAAAGAAGAAATTGAAAATGAATGTGCAGTAATCTCAATGACCAAGGTTACTCAAGCAGCAGTTATTGTTAATAAATGTCTGGAAGTTAATGGTCACCACTTTAAATACTTCTTATCATTATAGATTGTACAAAGGTAATTTGTGTTAATCTCATGATTAAAATATTTATACAAGTTTTTTTCCTGATGTGTGTACAGATTTTGGCAGACTCTGTATATATACAGAACTCAAAAATATAATTCCTCTGCAAAACAAAAGATCCAATCAAAAAATGGGCAAGTAAAATGAATAACCACTTCACAAGAAGTAGTATGACTAGCCAATAAATGTGCAAAGAAATGCTCGACTTTGCTCGCTGGCTGTTACAGAAATACAAATTAACACAAAACTGATATTTCATCTTAGTCCTGAAAGAATGATCATCATCAAGTAATCAAGGGAAGCACATCACTTCTACACTAATTCTTCACAAGAAATGTAAACATATATGAAAAACATACACACTAGTAAAAATTTAAAATATGGTGGTGCATTAACTAATGTTCAATTTGTTAACACCCAGCTGAACTGAGTAAGCGTGGTTCTGGGTATGGATGGCCCACCTGAGAATTGCTGCCAACAACATAAAAAAAGAACTAGAAGGGAAGAATGGTCTGTTGATCCTCCTGGAGAAGCTTGCCATGCTGGTTTTTCTGATACAAACTTAGCTAT